CGTTTGAGTAGATGGTCATTTTCGTTCCTCACCCGAAAGTTGCTTTTTGAGTGATTTATAGATCATTCGGAAAATACTGTGCTAGCTTCTTAAAAAAAAATGGTTTTTTAGCATTTTTCCAAAAACAATTTTGAAAAAAGTGCCTATTAGTCTCGTTCTGTCCGCCTTTTCGTCCGTCTGTTCGTCCGTCCGTGGACATGTTTACAAAACTTCCACACCCTTGATGATACAAAACTGAAATTTTATATATACATAAATCTTTACTAAAAACTTACTTCCGTAGAAGAAAATTTTTATCTATCTCTCCCCTTCTCAGAGTTATAGCACCTCAAAATTCTAAAAATGCCATTTTTTAACTATTTATTACAGCGAAACCAAAAGCATTTTTAAAATTTTGCAAACGCAGAAACGTACTGCCTTGTTTCTTTCTACCTAGACATATCATACTTGAACTTTAAAAAATCAAAATGACCATTAAAATTTACCGTTATCTTAAATTTGTTTTTTCCAAATTTTTATAAATAGTTTATTCCACGAGAAGAAAATTTTTTTCCATCTCCCCCACATCTCTAGTTATGGTTCCTCGAAATATGTAAAATTTGAATTTTTAGCACCTTATGTTGGGGAGATGGAAAAAAATTTTCTTCGAATTTAATTTAAAGTTCGAAACTGCAAGTCTTTTCGAATTTCTGCAAGTGCAGAAAATTAAAGGCAATGATCCCAAATGTATGCAATCTTTGAAATAGTTTCGTAAATGAATGAAAGTAATTTTATTAATGTAATACATAGCTAGATTTTTTTTAAAAGCATTATTTTCTTTTGTTGAAGGGAAAAGTGCTAAATTACAAATAATTGGTTTGACTAAAATTTATTATATACTAAAATCAGCAAACAGAAGAAACTTAAATAACTCACATATTTATTATTATTAAAAATTTAGAAAACAAATATTTTTTGTATATTTTTCTTTCAAATAATGTTATTAAATTTTTAACCAAGCAAAATTATTGCACAATAATCGAAATTAATTTAAAAGTAAAAAATAAAATCAAAAACTAAAAAAAGAAATATTGAATCAACTAGCGCATTTTGGCTACACACTTTGCGCTCTTTTATATAAATATTTTTATACCTGTATTTGCTGTGTGTACATTTGAAATTGACATAAAATTTTTAATTTTTTAAGTTGTAGGCACAACTAATATAGAACATAACTGGAAGTTATTTACCCATTTTTTACAAAAGTTTCTATAATCAAAGCAAATCGCTGTTTCTATAATCAAAGCAAAGCAAATGCTGGCAAAAGTTTTGTGCCATTCCGGAATCAATTTTTAATTAGTACAATAGTGTACAAATTCAAAATTTTAAATATTAAGAATAAGTGTATACATATATAAGGTGCCTCGTATCAAAGTGTACCACTACATACCATTGTATAGACCCGCATGAGGAGACAAATTTTTTGTATGGATACGATGTTCACAGCTCAACAGATTCCGAGTTACAGTGACTTAGAGTCGAATCCGCTTACTTTAAAGTTTTTTTTTTACTTTGAAAATTTTAAGCATAACTCCGGTGCGAAATAGATGCGTGACAAAATATGATTTGAAATCCTCAAAAAAGTGCTATCTAATGAATTAGTTCAAATCTTTTCAAATTTTGAAGTGACATGACTTTAAAGTTTGAAAATGTGAATTTTTAACTTTTCATTTTTAAAAATATGTTAATTTTGTGTGTAACTTAAAATTAATTTTTTCTCTAATTTTACCACAACTGGTAGATCTGCCTGCTGAGCTTTAATTTAATATATCAATAATTTTCATTCCTGTTATGATTTGAGAGTTATTGAGAAAAATGAAATGCTTCAATTTGTTTTTTGACGATTTAAAAAACACAAATTTAAAAATTTTGTTATTTTAAAAATTTTGTTATTTTAAAGATTTAAAAATTTTGTAAGAATTCAAAATATTTATAACAAATATTCAAAATGATGTCCTTCTTCTGCTTGATAATTTTAGTCGATGTACTCGTACTAAATTTTTTTGAACCTCTGCAAATATTGAAAGTCTAGAACTCATAAAATTGCAGTCTTCATTGATACAGTCGCATTATTCAACTCTGGTTTCAACATGTTTTTTATAAATGATGTTTTTCAAGTGACCCCATAAATAAAAATTCAAGATGGTTAGATCGGACAATCTTGTTGGCCATGGAAAAGTTCCTCCTACCATGTACAAGCAACATTCTTCTCAATAAATGAAGTGGAATGTTGTGTCATTGATTTCTTTAAAAATTAAAATTTTTCGAACTTTAAAGTCATGTCATTCCAAAATCTAAAAAGATTTTAAATAACAAAGCACGGGAACGAAGATATATATAAAATTTTAAAAAGTATGTAAAAAAACTTTCAAATTTGACTTTAAGCCTCTGTAACTCGGAACCTATTAAATTTTGAACATCGTTCACATACAAAAGTTTTGTTTACTCATGAGGCTTTATACAATATTATATAGCACTGTACTTTGATACGAGACACCCTGTATATACTTATAAACGCATATATAATACACAAATAACGCACAATCAATTATTTGAAAAGCAAATTATCGATATTGCATATGTTACTTTTCTCATAATGTAGAGAATTTATGATTATTTTTTTTAATTACAAAATTTTTGTATTTGAAAACAAATTTTTTTACAAAAATCACCTAATTGCATTATTCTAAAAAGCATGGATCGATTTACTTTTTAATACAAGAGGCATGTTTTAATTTTATTTTACAAATTTATTTTGTAAATAATGTAAGTTGAAAATTTAATAATTGCATTTTTTGTATTGAACTAAAATATTTTACATATTCGTTTATTATATAAATTGTAGTTAAAGTTTTTTTGTATACTCCAACTATTTTGTTAGCAAAATCAATTTTAATGTGTAAGAAAAAAAAATCAAAGTTTAAACAAACAAAATGTATAATATTTTTTAAAGTGTTAATTAATGTCTATATTTTACTTTTATATAAATAATATGTAAATTTAATAAATTTATTGTTTGCACATAAAATGGGTTAAAAAGAATTATTTTTAGACATTCATACGATTTAATTTAAGTTAAGTATATACAAAAACAAAAATAATTGTTATAAAATGTCAGAAATTCTATATAATAATTCGATGTTGGATTTAAATAGAGAAGTATTCTTCAATAAGTCGGGTAAATTCAAAAGTAATCGATTTTATTTTTGCACGAACTTTTAATAAACAACTAGTTCTTAAGAATAAAATTTTGTATAAAGAAATTTCAGGATTTTAAAATTTGCAAAAATATGTAAATATTTGTATACTTATATTGTAATTTCAAATAATCCAGAAATAATTTCCACAGCTATCTTATTTTTAATCAAAAAATTGCTGCTGTTAAAAATATTAACAGAATACACTGGGTATGTAATTTTTTGCTGCAATAAAAAATTAAGAACATAATTTTTATTTGTTAAAAAGTTGATAGATGTTAGATCGATTGTTTCTAATTGAAGTAAATGAAAATTTTCCTTCATAGCAATTCTGTTTTATTTGTACAACAAAACAAGAAAGTTTTAAACAAATGCCAATAGATTTGGTTTTTCTTCTGTGTTAATGCACAAAAATTTATCCAAAAATTTGAAAAACTTATGATTTCCTCATTTTTACTGGCAATTTTAAAAGAATAAATTTTTTCGGGATTCGAAAATCTATTCACAATGAAAACCTTCTCAAAACAATCAGAAATCGAAAAATAACAATTTTTATTTAAAGATTTCTGACAAGAAAAATTTTAAAATTTTGATGTGTACATGACACAGAATTAATCTAAAATTAATACTGTATGACAATTATACCCGTACGAACGTATGTTCAAAGGGTATATTAAATTTGCCTTACCGTTTGTAACACTAAGAAATAATGGTCTGAGATATAGACTTAAGCATATGTTTTTTATCAGCTTCGAATTCTGGGTCAATTTAGCTTTGTCCGTCTGTCCGTCCGTCCGTCTGTTCGGGTAGCTGCCGGGTAGAAACTATAAAAGCTGTGGTATTAAAATTTCACACAAGTAAATATATGAGCAGGACCAATGTGTTTGATAAAAGTCGTTGAATTTACTTGGCTCCTTCTGGTAGCTGCCATACAACTTTAAAGGTTATCTTATAGCATCTTAGAAAATATTGAAAACACTGTACTGAAATTTTGCATAAATTAATATCGTAATACGACAACTTAAAGTCATAGTCAACTATGGCATATTTATTCGCGCATAGGATAACAAATTCGTCCAACTTTATTTTTTCTTATTTTTCTTAATTTTGAATATAAACATTTTTATAAACTCATAATGAACATAAAAATTTTCATAAATACTTTTTATAATTAATTTTTGACATTTCATTGAGTTAATAAATTTATTTTAACATCAGCGTGTAGCTCATTTTAAAACATATTTAATTATAACATATATTGTTTTAATCTTGAAATTTCTTAATTACCATAAAATTATTTAAAAAATTGTAATTAGCCATAATTGTAAACTTAAAAAACAATTATTAATAATTGAACATTATGTTTTAATATTTTATTTAAATAAGTGTTTAGCAGCTTTTAGTTATATGAATTTCTAATTAACGATAAAAATATTTTTTTCTCTATTTTTCTCAACTGTTAACTTTTTTTCTACATAATATGCAAAATAAATATGAAAACATTTTGTAATTCGTTACGGATACAAATTTGAATTGAATATTTTCAATCACGTCTTCATCCGCTCAAATATTCGCTTTAAAAACTAATCGACCCCTAAACAAAAATTTCCTATCAACCATCAATAAAAAAAAATATAAAAAATCTAATTTTTAAAATTTCACAACTAAAAAATTGGCCTACAACTCACAAAAACAAAAAATCATACAAATAAAATGGAATTTCTAAAAATTATATGAAAAAAATATTTTATTCAAATTGAAAAGAAAACCTCCTGATTTGGAACTAGAGGGTCTATTCAAAAGACATTTTACTACAGTGGAATTTTTCCAAGGAACTATAATGAATCCAATCGATCTACAAAGGGTTAAGGTAAAAACTGAATACATTTTTCTTTTTAGTTATTGTTTTGTTATTACAATTTTTTATTTTTTAAAATATGTTGTTAGGATTTGAAATAACATTCTAAATAGTAAAACTGCAAAATTAAGAAAAGTTATCATTGTGTTAATGTTAAATTTAATAACATTTTTTAATAAAAGTTAACTTTAACTTTGGTAAAATAATAAAAAGAAAGCTCAATATAGTACAATTTTACGTGACGCGTTGAATTTTCTAAAGTAGAAATTTTAGCTGTCTTACCACGTAGCTACAAAGTTATTTAAATTTTTCGTAAATTAAAAGTTTTTTTATGTAACCTTAAGATCAGTTTTTATACTTTTTCTGTAAGTAAGTTTTTTTATGAAGTAAAAAAGTTTCTAACTATTATCTGTTTATTTTGAGCTCAATATTTTTATGGATATTTTATGAAACAAGGGTTTTTTTTTAGTGAGATTTTTGATGTTGTAACTCTCATAAGACGAGAAAATTATAGCGTCACTTAAATATCAAAAAGTAATTTTTCGGCTTTAAATGTAAATATTATTTTGGTAAGATGAAAATCGAATAACGAAGAAACAAATACTAGTCCTGTTATAATTTTTTTGGAAACAAAAAAAAAATATTTTTTTCACTTATGTATTGATTTATATTACCCTTTGCCATAACTCAAATATTTACAATTTCAATAAATGTTAAAACGTAAAGTTTTAAAATATTACTATTACTAAAAAATTTAAATTATTATATAAATTTATCTTGCCCAATTGAATCAAACACAGTATTTTAACATTAAACGTTATTCATGGATTTTTATGATAATTAAGTAAAAAAAAAAAACAAATCATACACATAATTGTTATACATACATATATAATACTTTTGTCCTGTTTAGTTTTGAATACAATATAATAATTTATAATAATTTTTCTAAAAAATCTCCTTAAGACATTGAAATATTGTATTATGAAATTTATACAATGCATAATGATATTATGAAATATGTAAATAAAAAAACAAAAATCAAATAAAATTTGGGAATAATGTTTCATAAATTCTGATTAAAAATAAAATAATGGTGCAAAGAAAAAGATATTATTTTATTTGCATCGAATCTATATATTTTCGATAAACTGCGCTATTTAGCTACCACTATTCTAACAAAAGCTTGCAATATTTCTCAAATTATCTATTTAGAATGCATTTCAAAAATATAAAAAAATTAAATTTTTTCATAAAAGTTTTTGAAAATTCTATGCTATTGAATAGAAAATTACATCCTAGTTTTATCCCTTTAAGGATATTCGTAATTTATAAAATATATATGAAAATATATGAAAAAAGTCTTAATGTATTTTGTTTTCTTTTTTAATTTTTAAAACTTTAATTTAATTTATATTTTTTATCAACTTTTATAAATATGATTTTCGATGTTGAGAAATTTGTGTTAAACTTTTATGTTAACAAATAAAACCGTTGTTCGTTGTTTTAACAGCAAATAAAAAATAATAATTATTAAGTATTGGGTATTTGAGCGTGAAAATTTGCAAAAACAAATCTCATATAACTTATATACACTCACATAATAATATTAAAACTAATCACCGCATTAAAACATAACAGAGTAGTGCCTCTGACACATCATGACAATAGAACATAAACATAATATATATAAATTACCAAAAGTTAATTTTCTTCGAAGCAATTTTATTTTTTTAAATCAATATGAATGTTGTCGAATTATAGCAGTTATACCTAATTTTTTTAGAACGATGTGTTGCGTGTGAATAAGTATGCAATTTTTAGTTTAACTATCACTTCCAAAGTCTTTCTTTTGCCCTTTGTTCTTCAAATTACGTTTTATTTCCAGAAGACAATCTTAATAACTTAAATACATGATTTATTGTATAATACTTGCGTTTCATGTCATCTAAATACCTCGAAGTAGTTGGCTGTGGTTGGATGGAACGCTCGATTGTATGGGAATATATTTACATATGTAGTTTGCTCATTTGTATAATCTGGTATGTAGAAGTAAAAGCTTACAGATAAATATAAGTATTGAATATATCAATAAAATAAAGTCATCTAGGGGAATCGATGTAATAACTTTGTAAAGTATAATGAATTTTATTCAATTTTCGCCATATTTAACTCTTATTCAAATAGTTCAAAAATACTTGTATGATAAATCTAATCTCATTAAAAAGGAATGCTCTAATGGTGTTATTAACTAAGTTTATGACAACAAAGATGTTGATACAATCATATGATAACTAAATGATGACTGAGTGATCTGCTACGCATTCTTATACTAACTATATACATATGTATATCCTATTATTGCTTAAAAATTGTTTCTGTACATTTCTATAATTTTAAACATTAGAATCGTTGGTTTTCAGTTTGGAATTTAATTGAAAAAACCTGATGTAGTCATCACATAACCGACCGCAAATTATTAAAATTATGAAAATTTCTAATCATAAGTAAGTAACTGCTAATAAGTTTTTAGTTCCTATTTCTATAAAAATAGAAATTTAGCTCCTAGAAGGGGTTGACTTTATGATCTCCAAATTCCCTAAAAAATTGGCCAATTAGTTCCGGCTGCAAATAGAATTCAAAAATTAATCTTCAAGAAAATCCGTAAATTATTTTTTACAAGATATTGTAAAAAATGTAAAATCGGCCATAATGAAAGTTCAGTTTCTCAACTCCAATATTTCAATAAAATTAACTGGTTCATTGTTCATATATGAAATTCCAATTTAATCTGTTGAATTAGTCCAGTCGCAATTCAGATTCAGATCTGTATAGACAGATTGACTAACAGACATCACATGGTCGCTGAAAACGAATATGTTACATTTCCACGGAAATCCGTATCTCAATTTCGAAAATTTATTACATTTTCTTCATTTCTTTTTTAAAGAAGCTCGTAAAGCTCATTTCCTAAATTTCAATAACAAAACCATAATAACTTATAATGGTTTTTGGAGGAAATACACTTTTACGCGGCAGGAAATTGTAAATAAACCATTTTCAGATGTGCAAATTCGTATCTCTAGTTCGGTTGAACCGATATTCACGAAAGTTTACATCTGAGTTTGTTTCGAGGATGGGACGATTTAATCAACTTTTGAAATAAGTCAATTCTCAGGATCGGAAACTTTACTACGGACCAATTTTTCGTTTTTTATGATAAGAAACTAATGCACAGCATTTCTTGAAATTTTATATATATGAATTCTGTTTGCTACAGGAACTGTTTGAGGAATCTTGCAGGGAATTAGGGTGGCATGAAGTGAACCTCTTTTAAGATCTAAATTCCCATTTTGGTAGGTATGATTAAAAGCTTACTAGCGTCTTCAAAATATGAAAAAAGGACATTTCAAAGAACATTTTTATGATCTAGTGCAACATTTTTGTCATAACAGAATACATAACTGATGTGATCAGCACATGTGCTGATCGTATCAGTTTTTTCAAGATAAAAAAATGCATTATACACAACTCACGTTAGGAGTTGTTATTGAATTAATGCAGTTTGCAAATCTCGCTTATAGTTTTACTTCGGATATATAATATGTTTCGAAAGGTCTTCACTTATAAATTAAAAATTTTCAAATTCATACTGGTTAAAATTAAGAAATTACTATATATAAAATTTAAAAAAGAAAGATAATTATGCTTTCACACTAACACATCTATGTACATAAAAGCTACAATTTGTCCTTAAGTGTGTTATACAATTTTAAAACAAAACTTTACACTATATTCTTTTACACCTACACATTTTTAGTTGACACTTTATAAAAACTGTTTGATGATAAATTATTATATTTTTTTAACATGATTATTTTTATTCAATTAATGTTGTGTTCGCCTATTAACGTATTTTAAATATTTATTTAAAAAAAAGTCACTATTTATGTATGTTTCATCACCAAGCTCTTTATATGTATGTTACAATTATCAAAATGTCTACATAAATCCTTTAGTGTGAATTTTGAACTAAGTAAAATTCCAAAGCAACTGTAATAATATTGTATTATAAAATTACTTTATTGCTAATTTAATTTTTATTAAAACTATTTTAGTAATTAATATAAAACAAAAGTAACGAATATTTAAAAATTTCATCGTAAAACTCGTTGAATTCTGATCAGGAGTTTTAAAATGATGTTTGAAAGCAGCCCGTAGCAAATCTTAATTAAAACTTATTAAGAATCAATAACAAATATATATATATATACATATGTATGTATATATATATGTACTTATATGGACGCAAGTGCAATGTTTGACAAATCGATTGTCGCTTAAGCAAAGACAGCTTAATTGTTATGGAACAAAATACATATTTTCTACATTCACGACCTAGAATATTTTTCTGGACTATGATACTAAATCTTTTCATTTAAATTATTCAAACATTATAACCACAGCTATGAATAAAATAACGTATATATGAGAGCTCACAGTTTAATATGCAGCAACGCCGTGCTTTATAATTAAGTGTTATGTAGAAAATAGTACGGTAAACATGTTTTTGTTACAAGAACAAATCTAAAAGTATATTTTATGTTTGTATAATTGATTTATAAAAGTAAACATTATATGTATATGGTAGGTAAGTGAAACAATAAAAAATAATAATAATATAAAACGAAATATATAAGGAAAATGTAAAATTGAAATATGAAATTTGTAACTAAAAAAAAAAATTTGGAAAAATTTTAATAAAATTTACAGATTTTGCACTAATTCTTAAGTTAATATTTTTGTATTTTGTTGTAACAGAATTGTAACTCATCTTATGCATTTATGTTATGTTGCATGGCTATGTAAAATTTTTTTGTCTTACTATAATAAGCAATTTTTGGTATTAAATTGTAAGTGTTTGCTCAATTATCATTGATGTGTCACCTGTCATAGTTTTTTTAACGTTGCTTTTTTTTATTATTTTCTTTATCATTTAATTTTTATATTTACATACATAAAACTAAAAATTTGAAATACAAAAGTAATCTTTTTTGACTTACCAAATAAAAATATATTATAATAAGAATATATACATATATATATTTAATTAAGAATAAATAATGTATCAACTTTTGTAATACAGAAGGTTTTTGTAAAGAGACAAAAACAAATCAGATAAAACTTAAAAGGACGTTAAAGAAAAAAACATTGTTTTCGGATACCAATGTGAAGAAATACTCTCTCAATCATGATGATATTGATCAGTCATTTCTTTCCGCCATTATTCTTTACACAGCTTCAAGCATTTATCCCTTTTATCTAATGAAAATTTGTCTTTTAAAAATATATTTTTCTTTCATCTACATAATTTGAAATGTTTAATATTCAGCTATTTTTGAGATCGAAAAGTATTTTGCATATAAAACTTTCACATTCTTGAATTAAAATTAACATAAGCTTAAGGAGGATTTCCACTCACGCCCGGAAAAAATATTAACCAATCAATCAATTTTAATTTTACTAATACATATGCAAAACTGAATTGGCTGGACAGTTGATTGGTCCACTTTTTTTGAGAAAATTAAAAAAAAAAACAAGTTTTGACTGAAGATTCATGAAGATTCAGAGCTATGACACAAACACATTCTCTAGACGTGTTAATTTGCTTAATAAACTTATAAGCTACCGTGAATACAAACAATATAAGCTATCGTAAATATAAACAAAACCCGAAATAGAAGGGTTTTACATAAACTATAATGTTTTTAGAAGCTGGAAAATCTGAAAGACTTTTAGAAACTGGAAAGCGTTACAAAAAATATTACTGGTGAAATTAATGTCATACATATGTACATAGTCAATAGTCAATGTGACTACATTATTTTATAATTGTTCGCATTCTAAAAAATATTTAATCAGCACTTTTTGCAAAAGATTTAAATGTGTTTAAAATTAGTTCATTAAAACCTACAAACCAATTTCAATTAACATTATTAATTTTTATAAGACTTAAAATTTAGTTTGTAAATTATTCATAAACTTCATTGTTATAGTCCCATTCGAACTTTAGAATCTTATATGCTCTCTATGTTAAATACTTTTATCTTAAATCTTAAGTTCCTTATGCTATTTTATATTACAAATTTGTATTTTAGTTAACTTCTGTATTAGAAAACACAAAAGTTGAAAAATTTTTGATTACACTATTTTTAAATTGCGAAGTTTTTTACAGTATTCATTTACTGAATATTTTTTACAATATTCATATAGAATCATATCAAAATAATCTTAGCCATATTCAAAATATTCACTTATCCTATATGAAATATCCTATTCCTTAAATTACCATTATGATCACTTCTTTGATTATTTTATATTTCTTTTTTATTTTAATCTAAAAATTTATGCTTTCATTACTTTATATTACTTTATTAATTTATTGTTTTTTTGTCGTTATTATAAATGTGTACATATCAAGGTTCATGAAGCTGATGCCTGTTTAGTTCTAGCCAATAAATATTGTCAAGATCCTGACGCCGAAGATGCTGCCAATATAATGAGAGTAATCTCAATTAAAAATTACAGTGATGATATTAGAGTAATTATTCAATTAATGCAATATCACAACAAGGTAAACTTAAATACATATATACATATGCGAATTTCAAATTTAATGCTTCATTAATATTTTAGGCATATTTATTAAATATTCCTTCATGGGACTGGAAACAAGGTGATGATGTTATATGTTTAGCTGAATTAAAATTAGGTTTTATAGCTCAAAGTTGCCTGGCGCCAGGTTTCTCAACAATGATGGCCAATTTGTTTGCTATGAGATCATTTAAAACGGTAAGAAAACGCGTTTTAGAAATTTTTTTAATTTTTATGCTAATAATTATTAAAAAGTTCATAGTGAAAATATATGAGAATATTAATAAACTGATCAAAAGCATTTGAAAAAATTTTGCGTATCGTTTATATAACAATGAATTCGAATTAACAATATGAAATTGTTAATTACATAAATTTTAGAGGCATAAAATACTATAAAAAATTTTTGAGGCATACATACAATCGTATATAAAATTGTACAAAAATTCTTACAAAATCGTCTCAATTGAAAATTCTATAAATTTTATATTACAAATGTATAATAATGAAAACTATATATGTATGTATATAAATGACTTAAAAATAAATATTTAGTCACCAGATATGCAAATATGGACAAATGATTATCTACGAGGAACCGGAATGGAAATGTACACTGAAACTTTGAGTCCTTCATTTATTGGAATGCCCTTTGCTCAGGCTACTGAGTAAGTTCTTAACAAATGACTCCAATATAAAATGCAAAACTGAAACATTCTTCGAAATCAGTATATGAAATTTTCCTATGCGAATGCAATAAAAATTTCATTTCGGCACACATATATATGTATGTATATATATATATATATATATATATATATATATATATATATATATATATAACTAGTTAGTTACATATATATGTATATGTGAGCTAGCTAGTGTATATACGTATATATATATTTATATACATATATATAGATACATATATATATATATATAAGTGCATATATTGAAGGATCCTTAACAAACAATTTGATGTCAATTAAACTCCTTATATTCAAAAAATACACTTTCATTATTCTTTTGTCTTTTTGTCGTACTTTTAAATGTTTTTATTTTATTTTGTTACAAATTTTTTATTTTATTTTTTTATTTTCGTGGTTTTTTTTTGGAAATAATTTTCAATGTAACTTGTCATTACTATAACTTTTTTATAAAAAAAATCGTCAAATATCTTGCGAAAAAAAAATAAAAATTTCAAACAAAAAATAAATCCAGTGAAATTTTATAAATTTTAAATCGCATTTTTACCTCTGTTAATTAAATAGAAGATTGTAATTCTCGGAATTAAAAGATTATTAGTCTTCAATATTTCAATTATAATTTTCTCTGATTTGAAAATTGCAGTATCAATACTATAATAATGCACAATTCAGCAAATAACAAATAAATAAACAAAATTGATTTCTAAATCTACAAATCGACATGTGTCAAATTTTGTCTTTCGTCGAAATTATGTGAAACTTCTGTTCTAAAATTAAAAAAAAAATTGTTTTGTTTTTAATGGTTTTTTTTCATTATATGGAAACTATCTAGTCAGAGGAAACAGTTTATATAGTACATAAATTTAAGTAGTGTTTATTACTTATAATATGACATTTTTTATCAAAACAAATAAACTAATAGCCAGTCATGTAGCATTAACTTGTGGTCCATAACGATAGCTATTAAACAATAAATAATTGTACATATTTATTATGTGAATATCTTAATTATAAAATTGAGCTGCTCGTTTGTACAATTTATTTTGTATAATTTCTACAAGTGATTATTGCTCAGCTTTTTCTTTTTGTAAAATAACCAATTCTAAATTGTCCGAGTACAAAAGTTTTTAAAAATTGGCTAAAAAACATTACGTTTCATAAGCATTGTTGCATTTCGTTTTGATAAAACGGTGTGTTTTATACTACTCCGGTTACCCTGCAGGTATAGAAACTTTATTTAAGTTTCCAAAATAATAATGTTCGCAAAATTTTTGTATTCCCAAAAACAAAAAAATTTTGAGAATTATTATTTTGAAATATTACATGCATATTCACTTTTTTTCTATATGGGCCGGTAAGTTTCCCTTCCTTTTATTTTTGATTTTAAGGCGCTAATTATATGGTTATAAGAAAAATGAAAACGAAAAATTTTGTTTTTTATTTTAAGTTAATGTTACAGAGAATTAACATTTGCAATAAAAGATAAAAACAATACTTTCATTTAAAGTTTTAGAACTATATTTTTTATGAGAAATGTAAGAATATTTTTTTTCGATTCAAAATAAGTTTGCTGAACAGCTGATTCAAAATGATGCGAAAGTAGTAAAGCTTTTTTAAGCACTAAAGCTTTTTGTGATAAATTTATCAGAACAAAAATTCTGGTGCAATTTAACCAGAAAAATTGGAAAAATACTATGATGGAGTTTCTAAGATTGTTACTATAAATAGTTTCACTAATAAATTATCATATTCCAATTGCTTCTCATTTTTCGTATGAATTTTTCTGATAGCCGTAATAAGAGTCTAACATTTTTTAGTGTCAATGATTTTATCCTTAATATTTATAATTTATTTTATTTATGCTTATATTAATTTGATTTGTTTTATTGTTATAATTTACAAACGTTAGTGTTTTTTTTATATACAATACATAAGTTAGTTTATATTTTTACGATTTGGGTTCCTTTTAATTTTAATCGTCTTATTATATTTAAATTACTAATTTAATCAACTCTTTGCCAAAATTTAAAAATATAATGCATTGAGATCATGAAATTCTGATGTCATAAAATAAGAATAACATACGTATTTGATTTTATTTCTCTATGCGGAATTAATTTTTCGACTATATTCAAAATTATTAGAAAATTAGAATGGATAAGAACTATTTTAAAATTATAAAAAATTTTCAATATAAAAACAAAAATTTATAATGACTTCAGAGGATTTAGCTTAAAATCTTGTTTAAGCAATTAAAATTCAAAGTAGGCGTTAGATCTGCATTTTGACACAATTAAGTCTAATTAAAATTTCGTTTTGAATTTTTTTTAATAATAAATAATTCTTTGTAAGACAAATGAAATCATCTACGGTAAAAATTTTTATAAACATTCTTACGTAATGGCATCCCCTATTTTTTTTTAAATATTTGTTGTGTCTAAACCTAAGTACAATCGAAAAGTTTTTATTGCACCTAAATTTAATTGTAAACAAAATATTTCCTTTAAAACAAACATAAGAAAGCTTCTCGATGTTGTAATGTTTCATTGATATGTAAGATAATATTTTATCAAAAGAATAACTTCCTCTTCATACATTTCATATAAATTATAACATTAATTAAAACAGGTTTTTATAAAATTATGTAGACCAAATAAATATAAAACAATTAAAACTATTCAAAACAATTACAATATAATAAATTGATTTCACATCAAAAAACTTATCAAGTTTTTAATAATAAAATATTTTTGAAAATAATAAACGCGTTTAAAATTTAAATGTACTCAAACTAATTTTAAAAATTCATACTTTATTTGAAAGAATTTCTCCTTTTTAGTTTTTATTTTTTTTTTTAATTTTTGTTTCGAAACGTTTAGAAAAACAACTGAAAATGTTTCAGTATCTAAAATTAGCTCTCATTGTTGTATGGCAATTCGCCAAAACTTCAGGGGTATGTCAAGTTTCATGAATTTAGTTTTATTATTTTTCCGAAAATTTAAAATTAAATTTTGGAGTTGTATGGCAACTACCCGAGCCAGTGCAGCCATTTTGGAATTGGAAACACCCTTACCCCTTACCCCTTAGGTTTTGAAATATTTAAAAAAGTCTCTTTGAATTGTATGGCTAACCCCGTTGTCCGACTTGATCTGATTACAATAGCAGCCGTCTTCTGCAAAAAAAAAGAAACAACTTGTGGGAGTTCAGTGATTTTTATACCCCTCACGAAGGTTCAGGGTATAAAAACTCATATCTTGAGTTAACTTACCCTATGAGAAAAAAAAAGCTGTTCACTTAAAAATAATGAAATGCTTTCAATACCAAAAAAAATGTTGAAGTCGAAGGTTGTACTTGTAGTTGTTCCGTTTTTTTGCATGTATTTCAAGAATTTTAAAATAATTGTGAATGAAAATATTATTATATTTAATTGATTTTTTAAATATATTTTCGGAATGTTACCTCATTTATAATAAATATTAATTTATTTTGTTATTTCTTCTCAAAAAATAGCCATTTCGATTTAAAAAAACCCATATAAAATAAGGTCGTGCTTTCAAGTTTCACTCTTAGCATTGGGACTTGTAAATTATAAAGACATTAATGGCACACATGGTCATTTTTGGAACAAAAAATAAAAACACAGTTTCTTATATTCTCAAATTGTTTCCCTTCGCTCATATTGAGAGTTGAAAGTAAACTAATTAAATAATTTACAAACGATTTTTATACCCGTACGAACGTATGTTCGAAGGGTATACTAAATTTGCCTTACCGTTTGTTGTGTACTCAAGTGTTAGTTTTTGATCAGCGTCCCATTAATAACTCAAAAACTAATTGAGCTAAGTTCACCAAATTTTCACAAATGATTAATTGTAGTAAGTTCCAGAACCCTATTTAAATTAGACATGATCGAGGTACTGGTTTGGGTAGCTGCCATACAACTTCAAAATTTATTTGTCTATATCTCAGAAACTATAAAAGCTGTGATAAAGAACGAATACATTAGTAGGGCCAATGTGTCTCATAAAAGTTATTGAAATTGCTTGGCTGCTTCTAGTAGGTGCCATACAACTTTAAAATTAAAGGCTCTCAGATACTGTAAAAGTTGCGATATTGAAATTTCGCACAAGTAAAAGTATAAGTAGGGCCGATATGTTTGGTAAAACTCGTTGAAATTTCTTGACTCTTTCTGGTTGCGGCCATACAATTTCAAAAGTTATTTGGCATTATCTCAGAAGTTATTGAAACTATAATATAGAAATCTCGTGAAAACAAGGGTATTATTAGGGCTGTTATGTGTGATAAAAATCATTTAAATTTCTTGACTCGTTTCACATAGAAAATATTGAAAACACAGTACTGAAATTTCGCATAAATTAATATGGTAATATGGCAACTTTAAGTCATAGTCTGTCCCATTCAGCTATGGCAACAAATTCGTACGGGTATCACAGAGTTGACACGGTCAACTCTATTTTTCTCGTTTTTTAATACGGTTGCTTTAAATATGTTTTATCTCATTTTTAAAATATTGCTGGACAAAAGTGGAACAAGTGTGCACTCAAAAGGTTAACACTAACTACGGTTACTTTTTACCAGCGTTAATTATTCAAAAAAACATAGTTATTGATAAATCAAAATGTCATTGACAATTATTATTTCTTAAAAAAGACACACCATAGGTTGTGCTCATGTTTGCAATGATAAGCTGAAGTTCCTGAACTACGTATTAATTATATTTCCAATTTTGAAAAAATTGAGATTTGAACAAATTATTCTATTCTGTATCCCAATTTTTCAATTAACTTTTGTAGTTACTTTCAAGTCAAAATTCTCATTTTTTTAATTAGTCTCATTATTTTTTTAACTAGACGCAGTAAGATTGTTCATTTTTTCAATTGAATCGCTCTTGAGAATGGTGACTAAATTTTCTATATATTTTTGGAAAAAGTATTTTTCTCTCTTGAATAATTACGTTCGTTATGCAAACTTATAACATTCACTCAGTTTCCTGACAACTAGGGAGTAAATTTTTGTTCAACAGTATTTGAATTGAAAGTACAAACCAGCGAAATATTAGATTTACTTTAAAATTCGTCAATATTTTATATATGTTTGTTAAATAATGTATACATTTATTAAACTACTGACAAATTAAAACTTAACCGCTTTCCCAATATTAATTTTTTGTTTTCCAATATTGTTTCTCCATATATTACGTATGTGTGTGTGTACATCCAGCAAACAAATGCCAAAGTGTACAGTTCCTCAACAATATTAAAAATGGATGTAAATTTGCAATTCAAAAACAATAAATTATTGTTTTAATGCGATACGATTAATTTTTGATAAATTGGCCTTGAAATTATAACATAAAAATAATAGTAAAAATTATTTATATAAACTTTAATTTAATGTAAATACATTTAAAATTAAATAAAATTCACAATAAAAAAACAAGAAAAAAAACAATAATTTGTTACAGTCTCCAGATACCCAGGCTTGGCAGAATGATTACCTGCAAGGTACAGGGTGTGAGATGTACACAGAAACCCTTTCACCTTCTTTCACCGGTCATACTTTCCCACAAGCAAGCGAGTAAGGATTTAACTCCAAATTTAACATAGAATGAAAATATTGTACCTCCTAAAAAAAGCTAGAATTTTTTTAAATAGCATAAAATTCATTTTTTGTAATAACAATAACGTTCTTATACATATACATTTTGTTTTTGTTTTTTATTCGAATTTTTAAGTAGAGGTGATTCTTAGAAAATAACTATTTTTCAATAGGAGATAAGAATGCTTTTAAATAAAATTCCTTTTTATCCTGTTACTTATGATAAATTAGAGAAACTAAAAATGCATTTTGCTTTTTAATGTCGTCAAGAATCACTTCTCTTTTTCATATACATACATATGCAACAGATCAACAGTTTTTACCCATATCATAAATTGTTCACTTTAAAATTTTTTAAATTTTTTTAACTTATTTTAACAGCCAATCAAACAAATGTTACACTGTTTAATTAAAGAAAAATAATAACAATTTATCATCACATCAGATGTCATTTATGTATATTTTCTCATTTTATATAGAATTTGTTGTTAGAAAATGCATTATTGGTTATGACAATTATTGTTACGAAAACTTTACATTTTTTGTTTTAAACATAGAATGAAAATTTTTAATTTAAATGATTTTTTTTAATATTAACTAAAAATATTTTTATTCTATATCTGTTGATAAAAAAGTAGACAATGTGCCTTTTTAAGTTGACTATATTCGAGACATGTGTATGTATATTTGTACTAATTTTGCTTATGTAAGTAGTTTTAATTATTTTGATTTATTTCCTCCAGTGAGTCAGAAAATATAACACTTGAAAATTTCTGCGAAGAACAAAAAGTTTTCTGCGAAAAAAATATTTTATATGTTACGTTTTGAAAATATTTTATGACGTTTTTTAATAGTTAATACTAAAAAAACTCGTGATTTATAACATTCACAACTTACATATTTAATAAGCATGTACAATTTCCTGAATTGCAAAAAATAAAAATTGTAGCAGTTTTAGTCGAAATAATAATCAATGATTGCAATTTACAATCACAAAGATTTTAAGTGTCACAGGAAGAAAACCACTACAGTTTTCAATATTATGTTATAATCTTTATGTTTAATAGTTACTATTACCACAGATATTGAAAAATATTTTTGATGAAATTTTATATGTGGGTTTACTTCGGCTATGTAAAAAATTTCGAAGCCTCTGCGAGTATTAGGACCTTTCTACAGTCATCTTATTATTACAGTCACTTTCTACAGTGAAAATTTGTTGTTAAAATAGTTTTGAGATGGGTCTACAAAATGAATTATTAACAAAATCATAAAATGCGATTTTATATACGTAGTACTATAAAAAAATCTGATGTGATCAGCATACATAACCGATCACAATGTGTTTTCTGTTAAACAATTTTTCCTACTTTAAGGACGGTAGTAAGCTTTCAGTTAACATACCAAGAAAAATCCAATATCGGCTCTTCGTAGAATTTCAATTTTTTCCATCCGAATTCCCTGAAAATAGAACTGAAATATTAAATTTCAGGATATTCTCCCAATTAGTTTCGCAGATACGAAAAAAATGCCCAATAGGCTCATATTTCGGTTTCTGAGCCCTGATATACCAAAAAACATTCCGATTTAATTTTTTTAACACGCTGAATTTAGATATTAAGTTTTAAAAAAATTAGCTGATTATTTCAATTTATTTGAGCATTGATTATTAAATATTAAGTTTTAAAAAAATTAGCTGATTATTTCAATTTATTTGAGCAAAAATATAAATTCAGCCCGTATTGCTGATTTCTCTTATTAAACGAACTTTTATAAAACCTTTAATAAAGTTAATATGTTGAATAATTCCTTAAATATGATAAAAAATGTGAATTTGGCCCTTAAAAAGATGCGGTTCCCAAAGCTTGATATATTCCATAAGTTTATAAATCCGTTACATAGCCGCAGTAAACTCACATAACAAATTTCATCAAAATCAGCCGAACGTGAGATACACGAGTGTACACCCAGACCGACTCTTTTATGAAAATAGTATTTATGTAACGCGGTTGGTAAATATTTGTTAGTACACTTACTTATAAATTAGAAATTTTTTATGACGCAAACTGTATCCGAAATCACGACAACCACACTTTATAGCTAATTCTTAAATAAATGTATTTCGCTCCCCTTTACTTTTACTTTGAATATAATTCAAAACAGCTTTAGAAATAAAATGTATTCAAATTAGTTATATTTTTGAACCATTTATGAAAATAATTATCTAGTTAGAATAAAAAAAAAATTGAAAGAACTACAATAATTTCGAAATATATTTTTTAGTCAAATTCAAAATATTTTTTTGAGGAATTGAGAAATGTTTAAAGCACATTACTAATAAGTAGTTTCTTATTTGACGTTTTTATTTAAATACCGTTAAACTTGTGTCCATCAAAAGATATTTTGTTCAGCTACATTTTATTTTGAAAAAACACAAAAGGACTTTTACTAAAAGAGCTGTTTATATACCTTTATTACAACATTCATTTATTCAGTGTATCTATCAAAATCTACAAACGCTTCAAATTCATACTTTTTTGTTATCTCATTTGAAACTAATTCGACAAAAATTTTTGATATTATTAAAAACAGAATATATAAATCGAAAATTTATACATACATTAATAAATATGGGAGCATCGTATTTATGTACTGAAATCGCAGAAACTATGATATTTATAACTTAATATCAACACTGACAATAATGGTATGGTGATTTGCCTGGAACAGGAGATCTAGATTTTTCTTTTTTTTTTCTTAATGAGCCAGACCATCTTTCCGTCACAGTAGCCACTATAATCGATCATTAACATTTTATGTAAAACTTTTATTCTTATGAGATTTATGTGCCGACTTAAAGTTTCAATTGCAACAATTTTTAGTTTTGGGATAAAAATATATTAAAAAATTTTATTTCGACTGTTAAAGTTTTGGAAACTTTAAAGAACTTTTTTTTACCACAATTTGCTTTGCGTTTTCAGTACTTGAAAGATATGTAGATGTAAAAAACAAATTCACTTACAAATATGCTCAACTAACCTTGTTAAAAATGGAAAATTTCTAGCCTTGATAGAGTAGAAGAATACAGTGAATAAATTGAGGTTCGAAATTAAACCTTCACATATCAACAATATAAATACAACATGGTATGTCTTAGTTAAATATATCATTGAATATATTACACCATAATGGAAAAAACATTCTGTCATCTATACAGTTTTTGGTTTAAATTTTCTTCTTTTTACGTAATTTGTTTACTTTTTACTATTTATTTATTTTCAAAAAGTATGGGTGAGGAGATGATAGGAGGTGATGGCACGTACGGTTCAAAAATTATTTTCTGTATAAGACCAATTTCGATATTTGGAATTCTATATTCAGCACCTCATTACTTTTGAATATCCCATCACCTTCAGGCATACATTTAACAAGTTATGGATTATTATTCTACATGCTTAAACTAAAAAAAAGTATTTGTGGTTGCGAAATTATTATTTTGAACATATTCAATTTTTTATTTTAATTTTGAGTTTCTTTGAAGTTAGTTACTCTTGGTTTATATACATGCTTTTTATTTCATTTGACTAATTAAATTTTAATTTAACTGCATGTTAACTGGATTTCGTACTTTTTATATTTATTTAATTTTAATTTTGATAAATATTGTATTTCTTATGAATTCTTCGAATTAATCATTTTGAACATTTAGTTTTGCATGGCATTTGTACATACATACTTATGACACATGTATTGTGCAAATCAAAGTTGATACAGAAAGTGAATGTTGTTTGATATTTGCAAAGTTTTACAAAATGAAGATGTGAAAATACTGCAAATATAAAACAATGTTCACATCTTGTTTAAGGTATTGATAATTTAACAGTAGAGCGTATGTAATCAGTTATAATATTTATGTAAATAAAGTTAATGTTTTAATCCTTTTTAATTTATGTATATACACATATATTAACACTTATTACAATTTAAGTACGTTTTTTACAATTTAAATTGGAGCATAAAATTATTACTTTGTTATTTTAATATTCATCTACTCTGACACCTGTTTTAAATTTATTAATTTTTTTTATGACTTTTTCCCCCTATTTAACAAAAAAAAACGTTTAAAAAAATACAAATTTCTTATGGAAAAGACTTTGTTTTACAAAGTTAAAATTGCTACTACTGGCGATTGAAATTAAAGCCACTGAAGAAGGTGCTGACAGTAAAATATCAATAAATCCACGAGGTGCCAAGATTCAAGCAAATACTCAAGGATTCTTCATCGCGCAAAGTGCGGATGAGGTCAAGAGGTAATATTAGCTCTTAATAATATATAAAAATATATAACAAATTTAAATTATTACTAAATTAAACACTGCCCTGGTTTGTATTAATATCAAACACTGTGTAAAAATACCAATTCTCATTTTCCTCGTAAAAAATTTATAAACTTTATAAGAAAAATTAATTTTCACCGTCCTTTAATGCTTTAAGGTATTTACACAGAAAAATACTTAAAAAGAAATTTATATATACAAATATGTAGTTTAATTTTAATATAAAACAAATATAAAAATATTTTAGTTAATCTGAACCGACTGAATCATGGCCTGCACTGTTTGAGTTTTTGAAATATTAAAAATTAGCTTTCATAGTCGTATGGCAGTTACCCAAACCTGCCCAGCCATTTTATAAAAAGTTCAGGTATATGTCTGACCATAATTGGACACACGACCTTAGTCATGAATAAGTCATGAATCTGACTTTATTATTTTTAAAAATATTTAATATCTACTTAAAATTAATAAAATTAATATTTAAATCTGCAAAAATACGATGATTGACAAAAAAAAACAAAAATTTAATAGAATAGTACTATAGTAAAACTTTTAAAAAATGCAAATAAAACACATTTTCTTTCCGGGAAAATGCATTTTCATCTAATATATTATAATAAAAAAATTGCATAGAGATCTACATATATTGTCTTTTATGGCGAGAAAATTTTCTGCCTTAAAAAAAAGCACAATCAGGCTTAAATACAATCAGGCTGATTTTCTCTCCCTAGTGAAATCTGAATTATAGTAGATTCATTCTTCTTCTGTTGTCTTTGAATTAGAACCTCATTTAATTTAGAATATTTTAAATCCTTGTATCATTTATTTAACGCATTTATTACTTTTAATAAATGCGTTAAATAAATGTTAAAACGATAATAACGAAAAACCTTTTTTACTTTATCTGGTAAAATTATTAAATTAAGTCAATTGCAAATTAATAACAAAAAAAATGAAAATTTCATTTATACTTTTAGAGCCTGGTTTTATTGTAAAGCTTGCCATGAAGATATAAAAGACGAAACTTTAATTAAAAAATGCAAATGTAAAAATTGTAAGTATAATTATGTTTAATTTTTAAGAAATTCTACTATATAACAAATCACGTATAATACAAATTTTAAATAAAATAATTGATTTTTATACCACGTACCTTGCAAACTTGCAAACGAATAATAAAATTCGAGGTTATTTTTATGTTACATAAATATTATGTAGACAATAACTAAACAAAATATTTAAATTAATGAGAAATTCATAAATAATTAAATAAAATTATTAACAAAAAACAGTAAAAAGTAAGTTAATTACAACATGTTATCATATCATTAGCAAACAATTCTAACGAAACTACTATACCGTTATCGAAACTTAAATAGATACATAACATCCTCTTATTTATTTAAGTTAAGTTTTGATTAAGTTCTTAAAAAATTAAAAAAAAGCAAAAGAAAAATAACACTATAAAATACTTTTAAAATATAATATTAGTTTTAAGATTTAATGATATTTTATATATAAGTTTTAAATTAAATTATAAATATTATATTATATTTTATTTACTAATAATGTTTTTTTCATATATATTTTCTTACGATGTACTAAATATTTGTTCTTTTTACTTTATACCAAAACATATAATTTGAATCGAATTAAATTTCTTCGATCGTCTCTTCCAAATTAAAACAAAAAACAATATAAAATATTTATATATAAATGTTAAATGAAAAAAATGCCAAAAATTTATGTATTTCATATTTAATATTATGAACGAAAAATAACAATTTTAAAAATTATGCACAGTGACTGCACAACCGAGGAACAAATTTGGTGATTTAGGTAAAATTCAAACCCCAAAAAAATATATTAAAATAACTTAAAAACAAATGTTTTATTTTTTTCGTTCTTTTACACTGTATTTGTTTTTTAATTTTCTTTATTTTGTCAACTCCTAATTTCTCATGCGATATGTTATATGAACATTTTTATTCTAATAATTTTTCATTTATATTATAATTACATTAATTTTGTCTTTATTTAAAAAGGGAATGTTAACCTTTTCCATTTCAATAAACAAGCTCAATAATTTTGTAGATCAATTATACTACTCCACCTAACATAATAATTATACATTACATAACTAACTGTCAAATTTTATCATGAAAATATCTACTAACAAAAGTTGAATTTAAAATACTTTTAATCTAAACAGACCGAATTCAAAAACTATTAACCTTTTCAAGCCTTGACGTTTAGTCATTTTGATTATATCGTATTAAATTTAGAATTTTAAAATCAATAAAACAAAAATTTTAATCGGTTTCTTTCAAATTATCGTGGACTATGCGAAGTTTTTTAATAAAACTTTTCTTAAAGTTTTTAATATACGAGTATGTACATACATTTTCTTTGCATATTGTTTGTCAGGTTTTAAAGGCTTTACAGATTGCCAATTGAAAAAAATTAATTAAATCAGCGACAAACACCATGCACTTAATTAGCATTGAATCAGCACTAAATTGTAAATATTTTACTTTATTTATGTATATGTATGTCATTTTCAAACCGTTTCAAAGTAATTGCATAAATTGATAAAAAAGTAACACAAATTGAAATTAAAGTTTTTTTATTCTTTTGTTTTAAAACTATGAGGTATTTCTAGATTTCTCTCCCATCATCCACTCTAATCGTAGTATATTACAAACAACCTGATCGGATGTTGAATATGATGGGAGTTGAGTTGTATGGAGTCTCTTTCGCAATTGCGTACAAATATATGTCATTTTTCTTTTTTGAAATGGAAGAAGTTAAAAGTGGTAAAAGTATTTTAATATAGCATTTCATTTTAGTTTATACTTTTCAAAACCGATTACTTACGTTCTAATAACTTTATTTAAATTACAATTTTATATGAAATTTTTAGCGTACTTTATTTTCCTTATAATCACTTATACATACATTTAATGTTAATATATCTATGAAATTGATTCTTAATTTATAATTTTATGAGTTTTTGCATCTTTTGTTCCCTTTTTAAATTAATTTTTATAATAAAAAAAGTTTTCATTGGATATAACCGCACATTTTTCGTAATATTTATTAATTCACTAAGATGTATATTTTTTTTGTCAACTAATAATAAATCGGGCAGATAATTGTACTATGTTTAATTTTTTACGTTTATTTTACTTATTTCTTCAAGTTTTGTTTTATTGTTAAAATATGTATATTGTTACTAAGAAACTGTTGCTTACCTAAACAAAATTTTAATATGCTTTAAGTTATTAAGAAATAAATCAAAGAGTTTTGCGCAGTTTCTGTGTCTACTTATTTATTAATCCTTTTCCAAACGCATTTTTTGAAATTTTGAAAAAAATAATACATTCTAGGCAAAGTGTAGAAAAAAGTGCCATACGATAATCGCCTTTACTTCCAAAGTACAGTATAAATTTTTTTTTAAACTAACCCAAAAAAACAACTAGCATAGCCGAAAAAATTATTTTCCTTTTTCAAATTCATTTTTGTATGCGATATAAGCATAATCGCTTTTACAGTACAAAATTATCTACTTAAAAGAATTTTCCAAAAACAAGAAAAATACCCAACAAATTTTTTTTTTTAGATGTATGAAGAAAAACTCCCTTTTCTTTGGAATAAAATACTTTTATTTTTGTTAATATATTTCTAATTATACTTTTGTTAATAGTGTGCTACATATGCACTTTATCAAAGCATATTATCAAAGATGCACTTTATCAAAGAAATTTTTTTTTTACCAAACAAACATTTTTCGAACATTTTCGATTTTGGTGAAAACAAAAAACATCTTGACATGTTGTGCTTATTCATTTTCTAGAGAAATGCACTTCTCCGTAGTAGCGAAGCGTGCTTAAACTATTTCTAGATTTATTTAATTAAACCTCTGTCTGCCGGTCTGTCTGCTAGTCTGACGATTTGTTTGCTTGTCTGTTTGCAATTAGTTGCAGATCTCTATCTTGACTCAATTTTGTCTGAACCGGTTTTCACGAAAAATTATATCTGAGTTTACCTTGGTTATATCAGTTTTTGATCAACTTTTGTGTTATGTCAAGTTTCGGGAGCTAGATCTTTACTACCGGCCGATTTTATATTATTGGTCATTTTTAGAAAATATTCAACAGATCAAATTGTAATTTTAAAAGTAAATTTTGTCTGATAAAACCTAGCTTTTCAAGAATATCAAGTGTGAGCAACAGGACTTTTATACTTTAAGCCAAAATTACATTTTTACTTATATAAGGAAAAATAATCAACCAATTTCCTTCAAGTATAGTATTTGAATTTATACTATTAAAAAAATGAACTCATCAATTTTTAAAGAATATCAGATTTGGAAACCTAAATTTAACATTCTTTATCATATCTAAGAAACTAATTTATAGAATTTCTTGAAATGTAGTACATATGATCAGTTTGCTCCTGGAATTAATGTGGAAATTTTTCAGGTAATTCGGATGGTATGAAAGTATGAAAGTACAAAGGTACTAAAATATGAAAAAAGTGTCCAATGAACATTATTATAATCTTGTTAAACGTTTTCGCCAAAACAGAAAATAAACTTTGCGATAAGTTATATGCTGATCACATCAGATTTTTTTATTTAGATATTGTGAATCTTATTTCTAATAGATCAAGACACAAAAAGAGATCCTTTTGAATTAAGTTACGGTAGTCAAAACTGCTTTAAAACTTTTTATACTGTTTTGGATGTAAGCGAAACTATTCATGCAAATAAATATTTTTAAATAATAGTAAATTGTATACATATTATGTACATTGTTTCAAAGCCTTATCGTTAAATTACATATAGTAAAAGTTGATGATAATACTCGTAGTTCTCCATACACAAGCATTTACTTCATAAGAAATACCACTAGATCTTTGACTTATATTTATTTGAAAAGTACTTTTAATTTATTTTTAAATTTATAAGCTTACTTAACTTAAGACAAAAATGAAGAAGAAATTCTGCCGCTTGCAGGTAATTTATTTCAATTACTTCCTAGCATAAATTCTTTGCAGTAACCATGAAGTAGATCTTATTAAAAATGTTTGTTCTTATATTACTCAAAAAATGCGTTTTTCGATACCAAGTTGATTAACAAAAACATTTTTTTTTATTAAATTTTATTTCAAAATTTCAAAATTTTAATTATATACATACATACATATAATTTTATTCGTTTTTTAATATAACATAAATATTTTTTTCTACTTATTTATCGCCTTTGGACTGATTTTTAAGAAAAGTGCGCTATAATTTTTTTTCAAGCCATATTTTTTCTATATAGTAGTTTAAATTACAATAACAATTACTAAATAAACAATATAATAAATAAATTGAAAATTTATTTGACACTATATAAGAAGAACTAATTTTTAACTACAACATTAAAAAACGTTTTAATTTTACATTTAAGCTGAACTTGTCTGCAAAGGTTTATTATTAGAACTCCTACTATCTATATACATATATTATATATTCTTATATTTAATAAATATATCATAACAAAACGTAAAAATAACAGTTTTTCAACTTTGATTAATGTTTTCTTAGTTATTTTTTTATACAATGATATTACAAAATAATATTTTCTAATTATACCAACAATTTCTTCTCCACATGGGTTCCATTAAAAATGAAAAAGCTTTCAGAAAATCATTTATAATAGAATAAGCAATTTCGTAAAAACTCTATAAAAAGAAAATTTATAAATTACGGCAACGCGCATTTAAAAGTTGATGTTTTTTATGTGGAACGTGATTATTTCTGCTGGACTCTAGATTCTAGATTTTTGAACAAATTTTTTGTTGTGTTTACAATTGGTAAGAACGTTTTCTAAAAGCATTTTCGTTTTTATTCTGTATATATGTTTGGACGGGATGCATTTTCATCATTTAAGTATTGCAAAGTGTTATTTCCAAATTTATCAAGAAAAAAAAATACTTTTAAATTAATTTAAAAGTATATATGCCAAATATAGCTTTTTGCAAAGTAAATTCAATTTTAAAATTAAATAATTACAATTAAATTAATTAAAAGTGAATTATAATTCCTTTAAAGAAAAGTGTAAATTATTTTGGTAGCAATACACGTACAATGGCACGTTAAGATTAAATTTACTTTCATTAAAAAGCATTATCCAGCCATGTTAATAAAATGTATGAAGCCTTTTATTATAAATTTATTATACGTATACGTATACCATATAACTGTTATTTGTAAACTCATTTTGTCATCATGTACATTGAGGCTTATTTAATTTAATGTTTTCATTCAGTTGACACACTTAACTGTTTATATAGTATCGATTATGTGTTTATATTATGAAACCGAATATGTACAAATGTGACGTTATTGTTTTGAATTTTGGAAAATTAATTGAAAACTGATTTTTAAAACAATTAAATTAATTTTTTTAAGTTTTTTTTTTAATTCCAGAATTATGAACATTAAAATTAAATAGCCCTTTTCAATATATATATATTATATACCTGCTATATATTCTATATAATTAGTAACAAAACTTTACTTCAAATTTGTGTTAAAGTATATAGTACATTACGTGTTTTAACAAAAAAAATCTTCAATTAATTGTTTTTCAAACATAGTACTATCCCTCTAATAATATTATTGCACCTTAAGATTTCTTATAAAAAGAATTTAATTTTTAGTGAAAATTTTTCAAAAAAATTTACTTAAAATAAAGCAATTATTTGAAACAATTTTGAAATTTATTCAATTATTAAAATTTAAATAAGGTTCGACAGTTTTTATTGAAACTTATGCTTGACAATAATGTTACGTGTATTTTGTGTGGATTTTTAAAATTATGGAATATTACTTACGTTCATTTTAAAGGAATATAACACTCCAAACTACACCAAAGAGTATAGTTTGTAGATGAAACTTTTATTTGTATGGAAATCTTTTTATACAGCAGTAAAGCGGAATCTACAATTTTAAATACTTTTATTTTCTATATGAAAATATTAAGTTGTTCACTAGAAAAAATATACGTAACAACCCGGTATACCCTATGTATAGGTCGTTGTAGTTTAAAATGTCAGACGCCTAGAGTTTTATATACTACGTATTTCAAGTGCTGTATACCTTTAATAGAACGTATAAAACTTACGCATACTTAATTTTAAGTAAATTTTATATAGTATATGTATGTATATGTATTTATGCATATACGTATAATTAAATTACGTTTACGTATGCATGCATACAGTATTAATGTTTGACATTATTATACTATTAACATATCAAATAGCGCCAACAAGTGCATGATTTATGCACATTTCACTTAAAAATAATGCAGAGTCATTTATGTATTAAATTATATTTAACGTTAAATATTTTAATATGATATATTATGTAGTTGTTTAGAAATTATAAATTGCATAAAATTTAACATATATTTATACGGTAAGATTTCTAAGCAATTCTTTAAAATAATTTCTAAAACTAATATTGTAGGTTTTTTTGAATTTCTTCTATTTATTATAATTTTTTTTACTTTCAAATTATATCTTTTCTTCATATAACACAATACTTCATTATTTTCATTCAATTCGAATTCAATATCAAACTTAAGAATAACATTAATTATGTAAAAAGAATAAATAATATATAAATGGTATATCATTTTAAACCTTAACAAGAATTAACATGACGAAACAGACGAAAATACTTGTTCTAGTAATAGAATAACTTTGCGTTTTTTTTAAAAGGCCGCAAATAGAGGCGGGTTTCTCTTTTATTCATGTTACTTCTTACCCGTATTGAACTTATATCATTTATTAAATAATAATGTTTCGTTATAAATTAGAGTAATTATAGGATACGTAAAATATAACAGAAAGAGCTGATAGATAAAATACCCTGGGTATTTATAAAAAAAAAACGTTTTTGAATTTTGCTTATAAAATGAAATGGTTAACAAAAGATTTTAGCAATGTGTTACGAGTGTGTGTAATCTAAAGATTTAAGTGCTTACTTATTTTCATATTATGCAAAGCAGTATGTTGATGACACGAAAATGCTTGTCCGATCAACAATACTTGACTACCCCTAATTGTTAAATGCAACAAAGTCGCTTTTAAAAATGCGTTACTTTATAAACTATATAATTGTAATTTTTTTAATTCTAAATTATGTTTTGATTTTTGCCTTTATAATCAATAAGAGTATACCGAACTATTAATAATTTGTATCTGAATATTTTAGATCAAGTCTCTTAATAATTTGTATCTGAATATTTTAAATCAAAAGCAGCTTAAATAAATATTTCTAAAACAATTGTCAAAAGTAGCAAATAACGATTTCATTGTAAATATTGGTCATCACAATTTGTAAAATTTTAATTTCTTTGAAATTTTATATATACAATTTATTTAATTCATACGTAAATATATGTACATACATATATATAATTTCAACAATTTACATTTTGTACCAACAATTTTATTGTGAAAAGTTAGAAAAATTATAAAAATATGTACAACTTATACAATATTTTCAAAAAAAAATATACAACATAAATTTAGTAAGTGATAAGATGCACTTATGTATATTTGACAACATTCAACTCCCAAAAGGTAATCATCATTTTATCCAAGGTCTAATAATTTACTAAATAAATTGATCTTTGTAAGAAGAAAATATAATTGAGGAGCATTGAATTACAGTTCAAAATACAAGTTAGTGTAGAACGCAATAAATTTTTTTACGCTTACCTAATTTTAATATTATGTAATTCGAAAAGTACTGAATTGAAAAATTTAAAAAATTTCAATAAAAACCGTTTAATTATACCAAACTACAGAATTTTTGAAATTGTGAATCCTTTACTACATTTATGAAATACGATTTCGTAGAAGTTTCATTTTTTACAGCATTTCCACAAAGTTGTATGAAAATACAGCTGTAGAAAACTTAAATTTTTGTCGATATTTTCGCCAAATGCATGCATGTAAAAATACCTAAACTATTTTCAAAAGAGAATTTCAAAATACTGCACACGTGCATAAATATTTCTTTTACCATAAAAATAAATTTTTTAACTATATTGTTAATATGTTTCCCTTTCGAATGCATAATTGAAACATTTGAATTATAAAATTTAAAAAAAAAAACAATTTTTGAACAATTGAAAACAACTTGTCAAACAATTCAGCTATTTTATGCATTAATAAAATTTATGTTTTACACGTAGAAATATTTTTTGCAGTATAAAATGAAAACATAATTTAAAAATATTAGATATTATTATAACAAATTTGTTTTACAAACTTTTTTAGTGTTTACTATAAATATTCAGAACTGTAATACTTCGTTGATTTTAATGAAGCTAGATGATACGACACAAATGACAATTCCATTTTTTGAATTGCAATTTTTTTTTGAATCATACAAAACTTTTATAATATATGAGAGTTAAGATAATTTTTGGGAATTTTATTAAAATATCTATTAATTAATGAAATAAATGATTTTATTTAGGTATGAATAAGAGAAAAAAATATTGAAAAATAAAAATACTAAATGCGACTTTCAGATGTTGGAATGATTTTAATGGAAACAGGAATGGTTAAACAAGGCATGAATGCAACAACCATACAAAATAGTATCATTGATGGTACGAATTTCTTAAAAAAAAAAAACAAGAAACTTAATTGCAAATTAGTAAACATTCACTTTTTAAATAGTTTTTTAAATTGTTGAAAAATATAACTACATTATCATTTAAAGTGGCTAAGCTTTTGCTTAAAATTAAATTAATTTTAAAATAGATTTATTAAATTTTACTTTATATTCAAAATAATATTTCAAATTTACAATTTCAAATTTGCTTAGATAATACGTTTGATAAATTTGTAATAAAATTACTTAATTCCGATTTTTCAAATTTGTTGAGATGTTTTTCAAATATTGTGTTTTTTTATCTACATACATATGTATATGTATAATTTTTAATATTTTATTTGATTTCAAACGGTATAATATATGTATATAAAATAAGTAATGTGACCGCCATATGTGGTTTCACATAATTTTACATAAAAATATGTTACGGATATGAGTCAAAATTTCATTTTTTTTTTCTCCACGGGGACCGAGATCCTTAGGCCCCCCTAACATCGACCCATATGATCTTTTGTGATTTCCATCCCCCCTATATTAGCTCTATTCCTAGGCCCCTGAGAAACCGCAGTATGGCAGCCATATCAAGCTGCGGGATCCTCCTCGGGGCCACAAAGCCTCCCCCCGAAGCATCTCAGTCGCAGGCGAGCAACCGCCTCGCATTCACACAGTAAGTGCTCCATGGTTTCGTCCTCTTCCAGGCATAAACGGCAGACCTCATCCGCCACCCTGCCCATCCTTTTCAGGTGGACCCTCGAGAGGCAGTGTCCAGTGAGAACCCCCACTAATGTCCTCAAATTTGGGCGACTGAGCATGGTCAGACCCAGTCCCCCCAATCCAAGGGGACGCATAAATTTCTTAGAGTGCGACAGACCCAGGCAGCTATCCCAGTGTTCAACTCTGCTCCGGCCGCCGCTATTTTGTGAGAATCAATGGGCAGCGTCCGAGGTCCCTTGATATGGTTACGTCCTCACCGTACACATCCACGCCCATCCTTTCATTGGTTTTGGACCCTTCCGCATAGAGGACCACGCCCCAGGGTCAAGTTGTGGTCCACCTCCCCCATCCCAGATCCGCCTTTCAGCTAGATCCACAACGTATGGCCTCACTATGTTTCTCTCACTCAGACCAAATTCCAAGGTCATCCCCATGTCATGTAGGCCACCGACCTCCGCAGTGATGCTTAGATGGCCCCTAAGATCACCCGGTTTTGGCTCCCTGTATTACCTTATCCGCAGTGCCCCTTTCATTGCCTCCCCCTTTAGGTGAAGATGAAGCGGGGCCAAGCCCAGGAGAGCCTGCATCGAGGTCGTTGAGCACGTTCTCATGGCACGCGTTATGCCAAGACATGCGAGGAGCTGCAATCGAGTGAGAACAGCCCGCGCCGACGCCTGCTAAGCCTTCTGCCACCATATGACAGAAGAATAAGTTACTATTGGTCGAACAATTGTAGTGTAGGTCCAGTAGACCATTTTAGGTCTAAAACCTCACGTTTTTCCATATAGTCTCGTCGAAGCCCATAGAGCCCGGGGGGCCCTAACTATGACTCCATCAAGATGAGGCACCCAGTCAAAATATGCTACTAATTTAAAATAAAAATTATAAGTATAATAAATATGTATATTTTTACGCTTACTACAAGTATAAAAATATTTAATAATTATACAATACATTATTAAAGAAAAATATTAAATACTAAAGAAAACGCTATTGTAGTTTATTTTCAGGGAGTGTAAAGCATATAATTTAACATGCTCAAATTTTGCTAATAAATGTTTTAAAAGCTTAACATTACTATCATTCTTCATAAAAAATAATATTTTTACATATTTTGCTATGAGTCTATATTTATTGCAATCGTCTAATTGCTGCTTACTTAAAAATGTATATTAGTATGAATTCACATTTTTTATGAATTATTATCAAATGTATATTTATTAAGGAATAACTATTAATTATGTTTAAAGTCAGTAATAAAACTTGTGAAAGTTAATTAATTTCAGCTAATTTTATTTTTTGAATTTTTTTTTATATGCATTTTTTGAATTTTAATATTTTTGATTTTTGTGAACTTCTCTATTTGTTTTAAGTCAATAGCCATGAATTTTAATAATGTTAAAAAAATGAATAAGACAATTTTACGCCCAGGGTATTAAGTTGCATATAATAAAAAGTTTTTAAATATGTAAGAGAAATTATATACATACATATATTTATAGTTTAAAAAATTTTTAACTAATGAGATACTCGTATACAGCTAAAGACTTTAATAGTATAATTTAAAATTGAGTAAAATTGATACGAAACTAAAATTGATATGCGTTAAATAAATATGACAAATAAAACTTTCTATACACATACTTTTGAAATAATTCTAATTACTTTTAACAGAGTCTAAAATTAAAGCCTAAAATAAATATTGGAAATGTTTCTGTTTTACAGCACTTAACATTGAGTAACGTTTTACAATAACTATGAAATCAAGTAAATTTCCCTTGTTCATAATTAATACGATTTATTTATCAAATAGATTTGTCATATTTATTTTAATAAAAAGTATATTGAAAAATTAATAAGTAAAATAAACAATAATCTAATTTTTAAATCAAAGTTGAAATTACTTTGTTTTACTTCATCTTTATTTTGTTCTCTCATAACTATTCAGCGTTTAAACAACTCACATATTTATTCTTAGTTATTGTTAACGCTTTTGATTATAATTATTGCTTCAGCGAAAAAGTATACATTCAGTGTTAAGGACAATGTTATTAACTATTTACTGTGTTTCTTTACATGCAGTTTTATGCAGTACATGTATTTACTTACATTACAGTATATTTATTTAAAACTGAAATGCTGGAATTCTTAAATAAAAATGGAGAAAAACTAAAATACTAGTTTTGAAACTAACACGCCAAATAAGGTTTTTTTGGAAATTTTAAGCAACATCGCATTTTAGTTTGTGCAACTGCGACAACTTATTCGAAATATCAATATAATAAATATTCGAAATAATAAATATCAATAAATATTCGAATGACGACATTAAAGACCAGCTAGATCACTTTTTTTTATAATTGTTATAATTAACAATTTTTTATAATTGTATTTCAAATTTTAAGTTTAAATAAATTCTTTAACAAAATTCACTTTTATAATTCATAAAAAATTAATAATTAAAATTGTAATAATAATTAAAATTGTTCCTACAGGTTAGATTAATAATTAAAACTTTAATTAAGCATTGTCAAAAATAAAAAAGTTCTTTTTAAAAATAGCTTGACTTACGATTTTTAAAAACTTTTTACTTAACAAACATGCAAAAAAGTTAATTAAGTTTCATTTAAGCTTACTGCAATTCGAAAAAGATCCTATATTAGTAGCTTTAAATTATTAAAAAAAAAAATTTCCCCGGCAAACAAAAATTACAGTATTTTATTTTTAATTATGACCAGCATTGTAGTGAATTACATAGGAGCAATTTTGGACAACTTTTTATTATAAATTAACTCTATGGAAAATAAATAATTGTTTAACATAATAATTAATATACAATTTCACTATTAATAACGCAAAGTATAATTAACAATTTTTAAGGTGGTCACTAATAAGCATTTATTCTTATGCTATACAACTTTTTTGGGACTCAAATGTTCATTGATGTAAAATCAATTGTGCTTATATACTAATTTTTTTTATTAATATGAAAAGGTAATCTTGTCTTCCAAATTAATCATATGTTATATGTTAAAATGTCAATTAATCATATGTTATATGTTAAAAAAACGTTAAAAAAGTGAAACTCTTATTGACAAAGTTAATGTTAAATACTAAAAACAAACTAGTTTTTAAAATAACAAAGAAGCAAATTTGGAAGTATGTACTACCAGTTATCCTGTTTGCTCTTTTCACTAAAGACTAATAATACCTATTACATATTTATATATACATAATGTGTAGTACATATAATAATAAAATAGCAATGAAATTTTTCTTTTACTTATTTTTTTCTAATTGCCTTTACCTTCACATTATATTTTAATTTATATCTTTTACGACCCTAAATTTGTTTTTTAATTATTATATCGTGACAACACAGTGGCAACCTTCAGGAAAGGCGTCCGTGCCGTTCAATTGGTAGGACGTGCAAGTACGTATATATATATATAAATATTTTAAATTTATTAAAATTTTTATTTTGTCTTAATTGGTTTCTTTTTGTTTTTAAAAAAATGCAAATCGTTCAACATTGCAACTAGTAATATAAAAAAAAATTATTTTTATTTTGTTCATATTATAACCATTATTAAAAAACACTGTAACATTACAAATACCTAAAAAATGTTCAATAACAACTACTAAAACAAAATTTTTACTTAAAAGTTTCAAACAATATTTTATACTTCCACAAATACATGCATACACTTTTTTTTATTAAAATTAAAAACTATTTATGTATACATGTATAAATAATATATTAAATTTATTAATATATTTATACACAATTATGCTCTGCAATTAATATTTTATAGCAGTGATGCTCTAAAAGTATGTACTTATTACACACAAAAACTTAATTACCAACAAACAGCATTTACACATTTTTTGATTCTTCACATTTCGCATTTCCACATACATAGAATAAAAAATCATTCCTTAAAGAAAAATGTGTCCAACTTTTGATTAACCAAACTAAGCGCTACATACGTAACTTGCTAAAAATAAATTTCAAACTTTCAAAATTAAAAACTTTGCCTCTAAAACAATATACTTAAGGTTTTTAATTCTAAATTAAAAATATCGTTCCTAAATTAAGAAAAAAATGTAATAGATTAAACCCTATATAAATAATTATTGACACATCTATAAATTGACACATTTCTCTTTAAAAATCAAAGCCTGGAATTTACTAACGAGCTAAGTAAGTAATGAAAACGATTCAGTGAAAACTCTTTTATTATTTACCATACAATTTTGCATAAATTTAAGGAGATTCTGGACAGTTACAAAAAATTATTACTTCTAGTAAAACTGATCGTCCAAAAAATCTTTTAGTAAAACTGATACTCCGAAAATCGGCGGAAACAGATTTAAGATTAAGATATGATGATTTGAAGGTCCTTGAAGAATAATTCAACAGTGACTTTCAAGTTTAGTATTTCATGACAGTAGAAGTGTAATATTTCTGCATTTAAAAAATTTATAAATTTTTTGAAGACTTTGAAGAGTTATAATTAGAAAAGAGGGATAAGAAATAATTTTATTCTAGAGAAGATACATTTGTGTACAAAATTTCATCCTTTTACATACGGTGCAAAAGTTTTGCAATGTGATGGATAGGCAGATAGATGGACGGACGAACACACAAATTAACGAAACAAACAGCCAGTTTAAAACTAGTACGCACATTTTTTCAAAAAATTTGTCCGGTTATATCATTTTATTGTTATTCAAATAAATAGTATTTAACAAAGCAAGTAAAAGTCCTGGAAAATTTTAATATATAGATAACAATATTTGTATAAACTCATTAAAGTAAAGACTTTTTTAAAAATTTTAAACTCGCTTATTGGTTTGCTCAATTTTGGAAGGCTTATCAAAAGTGACTTAAATCCATTTTAATTAAAAATGAAATATTGCTTCGTTTAGGTTTAAAGTAAACAAAAATTCGGTTAATTAGGTTTTAGATTATATTCTTTATTGAATATTTATTTTCGTATCCGACAACATAAGTTCCAATTCCATCTGTTGATATTATCATTCCTTTGAAAAAAAAAAGGTTTTGGAATTGCAAATGGATTTAGACCACTTTCAAAATAAACCATCCATGCACTTACACATTTTTCCTTAAAGAAAAAAGAAACACATTGTAAAACAAAAGTTTCGTTGTGAGAAAATTTCTTGTGTGTGAGGTAGTTTTGATGATTGTGATTTTATGCTTTGACTTTACAACATTTTAATTTTATGTTGAAATACAGTATTTTTCTTTTCTATTTTATTTAATTTAATATTGCTGTACTTTTTATAATTCAAAAAAAAAATATTATTAAGACATTTTTAGTAAAACCAAAAGTATAATTTGTTAGTAAAAGAAAGATTTGTAGGTAAAATTGTAGTTATACATAATATAAACCTCGTTTATATGGCAGCTTGATAAATATAAACCAGCGTTTATATGTTAGTCAACTTGAAATATTATTTGGCTTCACTCAAGTCAATCAAAAAATGTTGCTTACTTATTAATAATGTCTTGAAATATAATAGCCAAACATAATTTTCGGTCTTTCAAGCTGACATAATAAAAACGCAGGTCCAGTTTCGAGATGATTTCAAGTCAAGTACTCAAGTTGCCTTATAAACGAGGTAATAGATTGGAATAAGATCATTGTTTATATTTAGAACATTGAAGAAATATTGTAATTTACTGTAACTGCCAAAAACCGTATAAGCTTAGAGCGTTTTCCAAACATTATGATCTAACGTCAACTTTACTTTTTAAGCAACACTCAGTAAATCTCAATAAATCGCATTTAGGTTGGTAGGTAAATAAATAGCCTGACTCTTACTTCATTTATTTAAAACAAAATCGATTTGATCATTAAATACAAAACAAAAAAGCAAACGGTCATTTTGTTTTACTTTATTGATTTTGAAATGTCAGATCCTTAAAACAACAATGTTAATCAAAATTGCACATTACAAGCCAAAACATTTCCTTCTGCAAACATAGTAATGAAATCAAAAATTATGGTGATTCTTTTTAAAATTAAATTGTATAGGAATTTAAAATTTAAAATTAAATTGAAAATAAATTAAATAAGCCAATTTCTTTTATGAGATATGTATATAGAAGCGTATACATATACATTCATATATATACAAAAAATGTATGTACTATTTCAGTGATCCAACGATATTTTTTTATATTTGCGTTTAAAGACTGATGATGCTGTCAAAACTCAATTTTTCTAAAAATAGCCGTAACCATATTTTGATATAATCAAAAATTTTAAACACGTGCTATGTATGTATATAGATAATTTTTTTGTGAATATAAAATTATTAAATTTTTTTAATTATTTCTTTGTGTAACCTTTCTATAGTTTATAAATAAATATTTTTTGTTTTCAACATTTCATATTAAAATCTTATACCAACATAAATAAGACGAGATTAAAATTAATTTTCTTTATATGTAATTTTTACATTTTTTTAATAAATTTAGTAACTTCTCTTCTTGGGGACAGGATCACTAGAACAGGTTAACAGCTAGAATATAAAATAAAAAATATAAAAGCCAATAAAACTAAAAGTTTAAAAATTTATTTTTAAAATAAAACTATAATTTTGTGTTAATTATTATATAATATTAATAATCTCTACCTTTTAAAATTATTAAGTAAAATGGTTAAACCCGAGTTGTATTTACCCGTCTTCGCAAAAAAAAATTATTTTTCAGTGTTCATTGATGTACATATGCATATATGTATATATATATATATATATATATATATATATATATATATATATATATATGTTTTTGTATATGTATATATATATATATATACATATACATATTAAATTTAAAATTTTTGGTTACAGAACCTTTGTAATTATTATAAGTACAAAAAATATTAAGTGTTGTCGTTTTAAAATCTCCTCGTATAAAAAGAAAGAAAACTTTTCCTTTAAATGTCCCTTTACTGTGCACTTATTTACTTTTTATTTTTAATTGTATGTGTAAATGTGTGATATAAATTTTGTGTGTTAATTTTACTGTTTCATATTAAAATATTTATAGTGTATTCATGTACATACACAAAATATATATTTATATAATTTATCCATTTATACTCAACTTAATTTTTCTTATGCAAATTAAATCCATTGCAAATTTTTAAAAAGATTTACTCTTTGTATATGCATACATATATTTTTTTATAGATATATACATACTTATTTCAATTAAAATATAAGCCTTCGTTACACAAACACAAAAGTTGCTTTCAAATAAATATGTATTTTATTTTCAAAAATTAATGAAAACGTCAACTAAGAACCTTTAGTTCTCGCCATTAAATTACTTATATGTATGTAAGTACGTACGTAAAAAATTTAAATTTAGTGCTTTTAATTTGTCCAATTCAAATTGTAAGCTTCCTTTTAGTTAAAGATCCTATAGGGAAGCGAAATTTCTTATCAATTTTTCCATTGCAGTATCTTTCCTATTTATTATTTTCTCTTCGTTCATTTACATTTCTTAATAATCAAGTAAGGCTCATTGCTAGGTATTTACACTCACACATTATAGGAAATCTTGTAGGGAAGCGAAATTTCTTATCAATTTTTCCATTGCTGTTTCTTTCAAATTTAACATTCTCGCTTCGTTCATTTACATTTCTTCATAATCAAGTAAGGCTCATTATTAGGTATTTACATTCTCACATTATAATTTTAATTTAGGCATAAAATTGTGACAAATTATAGCTCAAATGAAGTACAGAACTGATTCTTACTTAATTAAAACATTTTTCTTATCGTGTATATCAATAAAGTTATGACGTAAAATTCAAAATCACCAGGCACAGCTTTAAAGTTAAAATACAGTTAAAAAAATAACATGAATATGTAATTGAAAAATATATATGTATTTATGGCGCACTGGAATGTGTCAAGAAAGCATTTTATTACTTTTGACACTTAACATTATTTTTATATTTACTTTTAACTTTCATCACTTTTTAACAGGGCTTCAAAACTTTACGAATTGTAAAGTTTACGTGTAACAAGCGAATGTAAAAATTAAAAATACATATACTTACACATTTTAATTTTTAATATAAAAATTTATAAAAAAGTACATCTACCTAATGTTTCAAATTTCTTGTTACTGTTTCATAGCATTCATTATTACAATATTAACATACATGTATCTATTTTAATTTTAATTAAACTTTAATTTTTGTTTAACCAATCAAAAACAAGTTCCACATAACCATACAGATTTATTTCTATACAGAATTTATTAAGAAACTTATTTTTTATACATATACATTCATACAATATATATTTACATATTTAAACTATTCATATATATACGTGTATGCATATTGTGAATATGTTTTGATAATATACATATATAAAATATCCAAATAAACAAAAATCGAACTAAAATTTTTTCAAATTGCTATATGGATCCCTAATTTAATTCAAATGTTATACCCAAACATTATTATAAAAAAACTCCTCCACTGGATAAATCTACTTAGGCGATGACTACATAATTTCAAGTAAGTTAATTAAGTAATAAAAATCAATCAAACGAAGTACATTCTTGTACATATAAATTATTGTGTTACATGAAGTCTTATTAGTTTTTTCACTATTTTTTTTTTGCAATTTTTTCAAATTATTTTTTACAAGGAAATGCAATTTAAATTTTGTTATCGTGAATTATGAATTTCATTATATACTTTTTAGTTTTTTTTTTTTTAATATATTATAAAATAAAAGTATGTGTGTATATATGCACACATATATACATATGCATGTAAATACACATGTATATTTTCATACATATATAAATATTGCTAATGCAAATATTATATTAAGACTATATTAAAACTAATAGAATATTTTATTGATTTTTAGTCACATAGAATATCATTATATTCTTTTATGCATTTTGTTCGTTTTCCTAAAATTGCATATTCAATATTATACATAATAGTAGACACGTCGTTAAAAATGATATTGTAGACCCTATACTTAATATCAAATCTGTTTAAAAACCATCATTCACTGCGCGTTTGTTAAATTTTTTTCCCAAAATGCAAAAAAAATAATACACTTTAAATGGATTTGTAAATTTAACAATATTGTTTTTATTGAACAATTTTACAAATATTCAAATAGAACAGTTTGATTACAGACTTATTTTCTTAAGTATGTAATTTTTAAAAATTTAGATAATATTTAATTTTAAATAATATTTAAATATTTTTGTTTAAGAATTCAGAAGTACCTAAAATGTAGACAATTCCTGGACTTAATGTTCGAATTATGAAGTACGTATTCGTACTTAGATAATAAAAGTAATATCTTCTTCCATCTTTAGTTTTTTCAAACTTCCAATATTATTATTGGTTTTTTGACTTTAATTGTGCTTAATTTTGCTTTAATTGTGCTTTAATTTTCGGCGTGTTTATTTTAAAATTAATTTTGAAAGCTTAAACATTTAATTAGGATTACATAATCTTACAAATTATGGCTAACATCTTTTAATTCAATTAGAATAATAAAAAATATTGACAGTACATGCTTAACAGTTTGAAAGCATTAAAATTGCTATTAAAAATTCTTGAAGCTCATGTTTTTATTTGAGTATCGCTCAACAGTCACATATAGGTTCACCAGATTCATTTAAAACTCTTCCATTTTTGAAATTAATATTGAAAATTGAATGCATAAATATGTCGTTTTATTAGAAGTAACATATAAAACGAAGTTATTTTGAATATGCCTTTCTTTAGTTTTTTATTTTTGAATAAGTAAATTTTTTTGTTTATAAATTATAAAATAAAAATATTGAAATACTTATGTATGTATATCAAATAAATAAAAATGATTTTTGTATATATGCTTTGTAATATAATTATGTATAGTTCAATACATTACTTATGTAACGCATAATCAAGCTTAATCAATTATTATGTAGATATCAACTAAAGAACAGCAACAAAATTAATATTTCTACTTTTCAAGAATCATAAATCACCATTGCATTGGTTTAATCTTGAATTTCTATCAATACTCCTATCTTTAGTTATTTTATTGTTTTAAAACAAATATGTATTTACTATGTTTTTACATTTTTTACATGAAATATGTTTGCTTTTCTTAAAAAAATCAAAATTAACGAATGAAAATTTTTCATTTAAAAAGGCTATTGAATATAGACTGTTACGTGAAAAGAAAAAAGAAATCAATTGCAAAAAATTCACTCAAATAATTAGAAAGACCATAAATAACACAAATTTTACATAAAAATTCAACATCAAATCTTAACTCATAATAAATAATTACTATTGCCGATTTTGATCGATGTTGTTTTATCTTATAAATATTTACTTTCTTTCTTATAAAAATTTTTCATTTAAAGCTCATGAAACAAAAACAATGAATATGAATATGAACAAAAATAAAAACCAAATGTTTGAAAAATGTTTACACCAAACTTTAAATAAAACTTAATATACGTAAAATACACATTTATATTAGTATATATACATATGTTAATGAAAAATATTTGTCTTTATATAATTTATATAAAACAATTGCCCAATATTTTGTATTTTGAAAAATCATTAAAATTGCACGCTGCTTGTATTATTAAAAATTAAGCAATACAAAAACTAAATTTTGCTATATAGTTTAATTTCAAATTAAAGCACTCTCAATTAATACACACATATAGCACCAACATGGAATAAATAGCTTAACAAATCCAAAACTCACACATAAATTATAAGACATCATAACAACCAGTTTTATTTTATATTAAATAGCATTAATTGAAAAAATGTGAATCATTCACACACTAATTATTTAATTGAATATAATGCATATCTATGTATTTAAAAATAAATACTATAGTTACATAAATACAAAGTGAATTTATATTTCATTTTAAAATGTAATTACACAATTAAGTGGTCAAAAAATATAATATAATATAAAATAATATAATGTAATATAATATAATGATATAATGTAATATAAATAATAAATAAAGTATTATATTAGTACAATAACAGTAAACGTGAAGCAGAAACACAATATGACCGTTCATTCATTTCTGTAATTATTTTTTAATTAAATCACTGCTAAACATTAAAACTGTGGACATATTGTATAATATTATATATAATATGTTATATTGTATTATATTATATTATATATATTATTTATCATAAATATCTTTCTATTTTAAATATTTCATTATTATACAAAAAACCAAAGCCAATTTTTCTCACTTCTCTCGCAGTAGCTACGCATGTTTAAGCTTTGCTTTGTTTAAATTGAATAAGTGTAGAAACTTACTGTTTTTCTTAGAATAAGAAAAATGAAAAAAGTTTTAAAATAGCTTTAGTTGTAATTTACAAATAAATAGAAATCATGTACGCGTAAAATTTTTAAGTTTATTAAAAATATAAATAAATAAAAACGTATTTACTTTAACAAACTGTTATTTTTCTAAAAAGGTGGAATATATAAAGGTGAATGAAAAATGAATAAAAATATGGAATTTCTATACAAATTGAATACAATGAATTTTCATACCACTTATATGTGGTTATGTGTTATTTTATCCAATGTTATATATCGTTATTTTAAATTGTAAATGTACATAAATCTTTTATAAGAGTTATGTTATATCGTTATTTTAAATTGTAAATGTACATAAATCTTTTATAAGAGTTATTGCAATTTCATTTTATTTTAACATTAAGGAAAATTGACAAGAATTTTCGTAGTAAATGGCTTGCCATCTTATTCTTCACGCTTTGCTTTCTTCACGCTTAAATTGAATAAATTCTCATAATTATAAATTATTATTGGAGTTGTGTATTAACGCCGACTCTTGTAAAAAAATGAAATTCAAATGACTTTCAATCACTTTTAGAATAACATCCCAAAACAAAAAAAAACATATTATGTACATTTTGCTTAACAATGCAAGTACATTTTAAAATTTCACGGATTGCATCTACATATTAAGTTATATTATAATCTAGTTTACTAACCGTTGTAATTTAACTGTTTTTTTAACAGAATGTGTTTTGAAAAGTAGTGGTTTTTTTTGATTTTTTTCTTAGTATTAAAATATTTAATTTAATGAACTTTTTTATATTTTGTTATTTTTTTGTTTTTAATTTAAAATTTATAAAAGTTTAAATGTATTTTTCTAAGACTGTTGAAAAATTTATGAAAATGTCAAGCTGCCAAAGTTTTAAACTACTTTAAGTACATAAATTTAATATCCTGCAGCATTATATTTTGCTTGTGAAAATAATATAATTTTTCTAATTTTGACCTTTACTTTTTTTATTTGAAATTTTTCTTAGTTAATTTTTTTTTCCTTGAAATATTTTACTTTTAACAAAAGTAAATTTTTAATTTAATTTAAATTTTTTTTTATTTATTTTGATTTTATTTTTATTAATCTACTTTTACTTTGAAAAAATGTTTAAATTTAACAAAATAAGAAATATTAAAACAAAAAAAAACAATATAAAGCATAATAAAATATGAATATTAATTTTGATATAAAAATCAATTTCCGACGTTTTGGTTAATCTAATCAAAATGTTTTCCACAGATGAACATCATCCCGCACCCACATTTACTCCACCAGAACTACCAAAAAGGGTGCATGTGCGTGGAATAACATCACCGGGTAAAAATGCTTTTGAAACTAACTTTAAAACTAATTTTAAAAAAATCAAAATTCATCATAAAACAGCTATTTGTTATGAAATAAGAAATTTTAAGAAAAAAGGCAAAAATATAAAAAGAATTAGATACAGAAAAAATACCATTAACAAATACATACATATTCATTTATATACACAAGGATATAATTATATTTATATATAACTTTTTCAATAATAATAATTTTAAAACATCGCAAAAAGTTAACCATAATCCTTTTATATAAAAGATTTCTTATTTACGTATACATACCTGAAATGGTTTCACTTCATAAGTGTTCATAAAAATAAAATTTTGGATAATTAAACAAATTAATGTTGTAAAACTGATGCTTTTGGAAAATGGAATGAGAATTAAGTTTCATCTTAACTGATTATTTATTTGTTTTTTTAAGTACAAAAAGTACAATACATATAAAATCGATACATGTATAAGCAAATACAATAAAATAAATTATATACATAAGCTCCAAAAGAAAATTTTTTAATTTAATATGGGTCCAGTAGAATTTTGTTAAGACCTTTAGAAATAATTTTCTTATTACTTATAATTATATTAGAAATTTCATTTACAATTTAAAAATTTCATTTATAAACGTTATAAAGTTTTAGTTTTATTCCAAAATAATTTAGTTAAGGCATAGAGAAAAGTGACATTTTACAAAGGGGATCAAAAATTCAAAAAAAGAAACAACTTTTGTTTTAGAAAAATAGTTAAAATATTACAAAAGTCTATTTATTTATACATACATATGTATGCACAAATTTTGTGTTTTTGAATTCAGTTTGTTTATTGGGCCCGTCCATTTTTAAGGAATTTTTATATTGTTTTTGTTGAACAAAACTCATTTTATCTTTCTAATAAGTATATTTTCTAATTTGTATAATGTAGATGCGTTCCCAATCTTCTGTCAGGCTTTTCTTCAAAAGTCGTAAATCGTCATATAAGTTTTACAACATTTAAGATCTTTTTCATGATCTTGAAATAAAAACAAAAGATAGGAATGTATGCTTATTATAACAAAAAGATAGGAATGTATGCTTATTATAACTTATTATAACAAAAACAATTTTTACCTTTTCATATTTTAAATTCTAATTTGAATGAAGCAAAAAATATTTTCAAAAAAAATTTACTTAGTAATTTATAGTAAACAAAAAAACAAGAGTAAAGATTAAAAAAAATCTGTTATAAAAAATTAAAACTTATATAAATGTATATATATATATATATACATACATATATTTGTATATATTTATGTATATTTAATAGAAACTCATAGACACTAACATTGCTTTTTACATTTTATGTTTATTTTATTTTTCTTTCAATTTTTTTTATAGATATAATTTTTACAAAATTTCGTATTTAATTGATTATAAGATATTCAAATATTTTTAATTCTTGTATTCTTACAGTTAAAATATGTTTTTTATATGCATAATAAATAACTACACTAACTTTTAGGGACTATATTCATGTACAAAGATTTATAACGGTCAATGAGTATATGCTCTATGTGTAAATTAAGATATTTACTATATTAATAAAGTAAATGTTGACTAAATTAATTTAACTGCGTAAATTTGATAACAATCAAAGAATTAGTAATATCTTAGAAGCTTTAAAACCAAAAAGTATAGCCATAAAAACCAAAAATTAGCAAAATTGTTTATAAAAATTTTATCGAATCTCTAAATCGAATCTCAAATCTAATTAAAATTATTAAATACAAACATATTCCCCACAAAATTGACAATTTTTGTAACTTTGTACTTTTCATTTCAAAACTTTAAGAAAAGAAATATTCAATACTAATTCCCATTTTATTTAAACTTCCTATTTTATTTAAATATGTTTCCAATAAGAAAACCCGATAATATTCAAAATGAATATACTTATCATTAAAGAGTACAATTGAAATATATACAAAGAACAAGTTTAAAAGGCATTAACCAAAAACAAATGATTAATTAATTTTATAATAAAAATTAAAATAAGTATGTTTTTATATTTAAAAAAGTTGAAACGTTATATGTCAATTTAATTTTTGAGCATGTATAACCATAATACCAAACTGTTCTTTTATTTTGTAAATGTAATAAATATTATGTAAATTATGAAAAATAAATTTACTTTATTTAAAAAAAATATCCAATTCTAAATACATTTTTTTTCAATATAAAACAAATATAATTTTAATTTTTTCTTTCTTTAATTATACTTTTTTTATTATATTGATTTTTTTTGCATATAATATTGTATATTTTCTAAACACATCCCTATAATGAATTAATTTCATAAAAAATTTTTTGTTTAATAGAAAATTAAAAGTTCAAATCTTAATTTATATAAATAATTATTATTAACTGTTTTATATTATAAAAAAATACTTATTCTTTCTATAATTTAATTTATAATTAAATATTGTTATTAAAGTGTATAATTCTTATTTACTATTCGTGTTAAATAGTTTTATAAAACAATAATTATTCTCTTTAATAAGTGTTGTCCAATTATATTAAATCAAAACTAAATAATTATTTTGTACTTGTAAACTGATATTGTTTAAAACAAAAGAAAAAAGTTTAATTAACCAAAAGAGAACTTTTTTTCAAGATGTTCTAAAATAATTTTCAAAAGAAAATTATTTGTAAATAGATTTCTTATTGACTAGATGGTGTTTATATAATTAAATAAAAATTTCTCAGTATGTCAAGCGTTTGCAATTGACGTTAGACATGAGTTGTAAGGCGTCATGACGCAATATAGTTAAACTAATATACGTTACTTATGCAAGCGACAATCAATTTTAGTTTTTTTCTACATATTTTTTAATATTAATGGGAAAATAATTAGAAACACAATTCTAATATAAAAATTGCAAAATTAATTACAGATGAATGTCATTTGAAAAACGAGAAAAAATAGAGTTGAACGTATCAACTCTATGATACCCGTACGAATATGTTGTCTTATGTGCAAATAAATATGCCATAGCTGACTATGTGACAGACTATTACTTTAAGTTGTAAGAAAGAGCCAAGCATTTTCAACGACTTTTATCAAACACATTGGCCCTACTAATAGAATCGCTTGTGTGAAATTTCAATATCACAGCTTTTATAGTTTCTGAGATATAGCCAAATAACTTTTGAAGTTGTATGGCAACTACCAGAAGGGGCCAAGCAATTTCAACGACTTTTATCAAACACATTGGCCCTAGTAATATATTTATTTGTGCGAAATTTCCATACAACAGCTTTTATAGTTTCTAAGATATAGTCAAATAAATTTTGAAGTTGTATGTCAGCTACATAAACCAGTATCCCGATCACATCCAATTTAAATAGGTTTCTGGCATTTACTATAATAAATCATTTGTGAAAATTTGGTGAACTTAGCTCAATTAGTTTTTGATTTAGCGTTGGGGCGGACGAATGGACAGATGGACAGACAAAGCTAAATCGACCCAAAATTCAACGCTGATCAAAAACATACACTTGAGTCTATATCTCAGACCATTACTCCTTATCGTTACAAATGGTAAGGTAAATTTAGTACCTTTCGAGCAAACGTTCGTACGGATATAATAAGACAATCTACGTCATTAATACGATTGTTAAATATTTGATACACAGGCATTCGGCTAATATTTTCAAAATCTATTACTGCTCTTATGAAATACTACTTGAACTATTTGTTTTCCCAGAAGTAGTTTTAAATTTGAAAAGTATAAGATACATAACTTCAATTGATATAAATAAAATCCTAAACGTCATCTAGTAAATAGAAATTGTAAATGATATATTTGTTTGAAGTTTCATTTTTTTTTGTACTATAAACTTTATTTTAAAATATAGTTTGTCTCTTACTATTTCTATTTATAAATTTAACTTATATTATATAATATATTTTAAATATATTACGAGATCATTAGAACAAACCTTTATTTTATGACCTACTTTTTTCATTTCTCTATATTTATTTAATTTTAAAGAAGGTCACAACGAAACCACAAAAACATATTAATTTTAAAATTTTTAGGTCATATTATGTATGATTAAAAAAACTCATTAATTATTTTATAGAACTAGTGTATACATTCATACTTAATTATAAATTAAACTTTTAATTTTTGTTAGCAAGTTTCATTTTTGTCAAAAAACTTTTATAATTTTATTAAATTTTTTTTGTTTGTGAAAAAGTGAACCATAGAAAAAAAACCTTTTTATTATAAAATGTACATAACGCGTGACGTGCAAATTGCATTTATGCGTTGATACATAATTCAGAACTCACGACCCGCAAACTGAATTGTGTAATAAAATGTATTGCTGCAACCTGGAAATCAGGAAAAGTGTTATAATTAAATGCAAGGCTATGAATAGTGCTATTAGAACTTCTTTGTTGTTTCTTGTTCTTTTAATATAACGCTGTTCCTTTTACTGCTCCCATTTGTGTACGGTATGCTAAGAAAAATCTTTTCAAGTTAGTTTTACTAACACGAAAAAAGATTTTCCTTCCGCAGATTTGTTTAAATAAAATATTTTTATGATTCACTTTTTTATAATTATATACAATAACTATTTTTGATTTCAGTCTATATTTTGTCGCCAATATAAAACATAGACCTTTTAAACATATAATTTCAGGTGAATTAGTAAGAGATCGTGAGGATATGAGCTGTAAGTTTTTTAAAAAATATTTGATTTTTTCCTAATTGCAATTTGAATTCCTTTCAACAGTAATAAATAGAAATAGAAGACCACCTAATGCCACAAATGGTGGCTCAACCTTGCAGCTCAATAATACAATAAAGCAAGTTAACAAAGTCAAACCAAATGTCAATCGACAAGGAAGTGACAGCATCGTATCACCTTCAACGTATAATAGGTTAGTTTATTTTACTCAAAACAATTTTGATGTCATCCTTTATTAAGATTTCCTTAAGTTCCATGATGTATTGAAACGACTTGTAAATTCAATTCAAGCATATATATTAGACCTGATTTTAGCTAAGGTAAATCGGGTTTAAAAATTGTACTGCAAAATCACAGTCAGAGTCTGTTATTACTGTTTTTACCGTAATTTAAAACCATTAATCGCAAAAAACGCGCAGTTTTGCTACTTATTTGAAGATATTGTGCTTGCACAAAATCTTTCGAAATACCATTATTAGTGTATACTTGCAGAATATTACAAATACAACATTTTTTGACAAAAATAATCATACCAGTAACAAATAATTACTAACAATTACAGAGCTCCTGAAACTGATGCAAATCCTTATGCCGGATATCAGCTCGCCTATGAAGTGAAAAAATTGATGTATGATTTGATATACTAACAACATTTAGCTAATTACATTAAGTTTAAAACATAATTCAACATTCATTTTTCAATTTTGAAACCTTTAACGAACCAAACCGTTTTTTAGGCCAACCAGCCGTGGTAGTGGTTCAGGAACGCAAAATCAAAATGGTGTTTCACTACCTGCAGGCATTGCTGATGATCAATCAAAAGACTTCGACTTTGAAAAAACAGAAATGAAATATGATTCCACTGGAATGTTTCATTGGAGTCCAGCTAGGAATTTAGAAGACTGTATTTTGGTAAGATGAAATATCCTAATTTGAGGATATAAAGACTTGTAAAGACAAGATAGTTACAAACTTCTAAGAACTCAAAAAATTTTTGGCGCAAATACTTTAATTATTATTATATTATAAAACAATTTTTATTATGCTTAATTGTAATCATTTAATTATTTACTCAAAATTTCACAAAAAGCTATTTAAGTATATTGCTTCCGACTAGTTTCGAGTTTGTGTCATACTTAGAACTAATAAGTATTACTTATTAGTACTTAGTTCCCTGAGGATGACAAAAAAGTCGAAACTAGTCGGAACCAATACATTTAAATAATTTTTTATGAAATTTTAAATAAATATATGATTACAATTAAACATAATAAAAATTTTTTAATAATAAATTAATAAAATGTTTCACAATAAAATAACGAGAATTTCTATAAATAATACTTCAATTATTAATTTTTGATTTTCACAGTTTTTCAATTAATTTTAAATTTCAAGTACCGAACATTAGCTCTTTATTTTGCTCAGTGTTTACTATTTGAACTTTGTTATAAATTAGAACTTCAATAACTTCTGAATTTTAACTTTGTTACAAATTTTGTTGTTTCCGTTGATTGTAGTTAATGTAGAATAGTACTTGCTGCAGAAACAGAAAGCTTGAAAACTGTACAATTATAAAATAGTATGTGTTCGGTAGATACAAGGAAGTTTGCGTTACCCTTGTAGTAATCGTTGTATTTTTACATACATACTTTTCTATTAGTTTGTAATTTATATATATTTAAATGATAATTGCGGACATATTTATGTTTAAACTTATTTTTCATAATATATAATTTACTTTTTTAATAATATTTTTTTTAATTTTGTTTTCTAATTGTTTTCTTAAATGCAATACACAATTAATCACTAAAAACGACATACAAACTACACAGGATCGCAATCAAGCAGCTATGACAGTTTTAAATGGTCATGTGGTTGTTTGCTTATTTGCTGATCCAGACTCACCATTAATTGGATTAAGAAATCTAGTGATGCCCTTACGTGCATCAAATTTTCATTACCATGAACTTAAACATGTTGTTATTGTTGGTTCTGTAGATTACATACGACGCGAATGGAAAATGTTACAAAATTTACCTAAAATATCTGTATTAAACGGTTCTCCACTCAGTCGAGCTGATTTAAGGGCAGTCAATGTTAATTTATGTGATATGTGCTGTATTCTGTCGGCAAAAGTTCCTAGCAACGATGATCCTACATTAGCCGATAAGGAAGCAATATTAGCATCTTTAAATATAAAAGCAATGACATTTGATGATACAATAGGTGTATTAAGCCAACGTGGCTCAGAATTCGATAACTTAAATACTGCCGGCAGTCCAATTGTTTTACAAAGACGAGGTTCTGTTTATGGTGCAAATGTTCCAATGATAACAGGTAAGAACAATATTAAAAACTAAGGCGTCATCGTTACAATTTGCATGGAGAGTTGCCTTGTATCGTTTTAAAAACGCGTCTTATGACATATATAAAGAGAATAATATATTGAGTTTTTCTAATCCTAATTAATTTCAAGTTTTGATTTTAAAAACCATAATTAAATTATTTTCTTTGTTTATGTTAATTATTTAAAAACGAGACAAGTCCTCATGCAAGAGCTGATTTAGGATCAGCGCGTTTGTTGTGAATTTTTGGTTGTTGGACAGCTTTGTATCACTATAAACAATGTAAATATAATATACTGCCCAAAGTTTCAATTTGAACACAAATTACAACTTCAATGTTTTATAACTTGAAAATTGACTAAAAATTATTCCAAAATAATGACTTCAAACCAAACACAAAACACGAATTTTCAGAACTAGTTAATGATAGCAATGTACAGTTTTTGGATCAAGATGACGATGATGACCCAGATACTGAATTATATTTAACACAACCGTTCGCATGCGGTACTGCGTTTGCTGTTAGTGTCTTAGATTCCTTAATGTCAACGGTATATTATAAATTATAAATAGCTATACCAAACAATATATAAACATATAAATACTTATACATTGCAGACATATTTCAATCAAAACGCCTTAACACTTATTCGATCACTTATTACTGGCGGTGCTACGCCGGAATTAGAATTGATATTAGCTGAAGGTGCTGGTCTGCGTGGTGGATATAGTACAACTGAAAGTTTGAGTAACCGTGATAGGTAACTGCAGTGTTAATAAAATTTTTCCTAAAACGTGTATGATACACTGAGATACTGCTTTACAGATGTCGTGTGGGGCAGATATCATTGTATGATGGTCCTTTGGCACAATTTGGTGAATGCGGAAAGTATGGTGATTTATTTGTAGCAGCGCTTAAATCATATGGAATGTTATGTATTGGATTGTACAGATTTAGAGATACAAGTTCTAGTTGTGATGCTAGTAGTAAACGATATGTAATTACTAACCCACCCGATGATTTTTCATTACTGCCAACAGACCAGGTAAAATTATATAATACACAGATGCGTTAAACACAAATTTCTAATTCACTTAAGATGTTTTAATTTCCTTTTATATATTTTTACTTATCAAGTTAACGCCTTTTTTGGCTCTCGTAGCGAAAAGGGGATTTTAAATAATGAATTCATACTTTATATTGAATTCATAGTCTATTATAAGACAAGAAACTTTTGCTCCACCACGAAAAGGACCATAAAAAATTAATTCTCAAAAACTTTAAAAAATTATATTTTTTAAAGCATTAAGGTTATTATTAAAGCCTTAAGGTTCAGTTAATGTTTAAAAAGTTATCTTTTACATGAGGTTCTCATGTAGTTTCGGAGATATAACGGTTATAAAATTTGATAACTTCAATGGTTTGAAAAATATAAGTTTTTGGAAATTTAAAAATATTTTCCTTCCTTTCCAAAAAGTCCTTTTCATCCTTCAAGGACGTGGCTAAAAGTGGTAGAACAAAAGTTTCTTGTTTCACCTTATTACTACAATCCCCCAAATTTTAAATTGTCTTTTTTCTTCTGATCATAAATTAATCATAGTATTTGTACTTATTTTTATAAAAGAAATTTTTTTGTTATTTATAGTATTTTATTATTTTTATGTAAGAAAATTAATTAATTTGAATTTGAATTAAATTTTCGTCATTTTCTGTTTTAGGTATTTGTTTTAATGCAATTTGATCCTGGCTTAGAATATAAGCCACCATCAGTACGAGCACCATCTGGCGGACGTAATGCTAATACACAGGGCTCTGGGGTTGGTGGCGGTGGTTCTAATAAGGATGATAACTCCTGATTGTTACTGTGTAGCGCCTTAACTGATGGTCCTTATTCGTACATATGAACGATGGAGAATTCAGTATTGTACAAAATAACGCAATATTGGCAACAAATATTTCACAAAATCTTACAATTTATATTTAGTTTTTTTCAAAGATTTTACGGTGGTAATGTCGAAGAATTTTTATAAAAAAGAAAGTATATAACTAAATGGTAAAAATCATAACTTGCAATATAATTTTACCGATTAAATGATGAAAAATAAAATTTTTTAGTAAAACTTTTATTAGAAAATTTAAAAATTATCTTTTTATATGGACATTTATATTAAATTTGGTTAAAATTAATTATTTAAAAATTTAATTTTGTAAAAACTTTACTTCTGTATGTATCCTAAATGTATTAATCAAATGCATACATATTTTTATTTAATTTCGACCATTGTAGTTGATTTAAAAAAAAAATTGTTTTTCATTTTATTGTTTTTTTGCAATTTTATTTCGAACAGATTTGGTAACTTTATTAAATTTTTAACGTAGAATCATTTTACATCTGGTGAAGGTCTTGTATAATTGATATTACAATATTTATTATTAATGTTATCTTTAACTTTTGATCGCATCCAGAATTTATCTTTATTTTACCATATTTTTATTCTGTGTTATTTGTTTTTCGTTTAGTTAAAAAAGTTTTTGAGAATTATCAAAAACTCAAATCATTAGGTCAAAGATTTTTGATTTCGTGTTTCTTAATTCTTAAATGATTTTTTTTTGCATAAAAGAAAGCCGATAAAACTCTATATATCACTATTATACGTAGTACATGGTTTCGATGCAACACATATTCTGATACTACATAAAAATTATATCAAAAGTCACTGGTTGCGCCATGAAACAAAATAAATAGTCTGCACGAAATTTTTAATAATAAATTACAACCTTAGAAAACAAAGCATTCTCGTCGCGAATCGCGACATTTATTTAAAATAGATAATTTTAATAGAAAACTTTACTTTCACCATTCCAAATTGAAAAATAAATTTTATACATTATGTAAAATATAAATGTCTTCAGTCATAATGAATTCTTTTATACGATAATGAAGATAATATGCACACTGTTAAAATATTATTTACAAGATTATCGGTATTCTTTTGTTTAAATAAAGAAATAACCCTTCATTCTTCACTATATAATTATATAGTAAATATTATTTTCTGTATATTAACTCATTTGTTTTTTTTTAGTTAGTTTTAATTATAAAATAAATATATCGAATAAATATGCGTTATTTTGTACAATATTTATAAAAAAATTTTGAGCCATTGAAATATTATTTTTTTTATTTTATTTTTAAAAGTTTATGGAATTATAATTATGTAAATTATACTTAGTTTCTTTATTATAATAGCTTAAAAGAAATAATTTTTTTTATACTTATATTCATTTTATATGAGATTATGCATAAAAATGTTAAAAGATATAACGAAAAAATCCCTCTAACTATTTCGAGTATTGTTAAAATTAATCACGAAGATGTTATATATGATTTTATAAAAAAAAAATCACAGAAACTGAAAGAAATAATAAATTTGATTGATGAAATTTATGTCAATGGTTCAAAATTTTAAATGAAAGATATTTACTTTTTTGAAATGAAATCAAAATTTAATTACTGATTTCAACTTTAAAGAAAATATGTTTCATTACCATATAAAGAAAAGCTTTGCAAATTAAAAACATAAAACATCCAAAATTCCATCTTTCATATGTGTAAAGATTGCTTCCCACACCATTCCGAATGCTCTTTAAAACTTTTTCTATTTTTTGTTATTTTATTTTCTGTTATTTTAAGTTTATTTTGGTTTCATAAATGTTATTTTTTTTACATATAAATATGTTTTTAATTTTAAGTTTAATTGTTATTATTATTTATTTGCTTTCAATTTAAAATATATTTGTTAATTAAATACAAAAAAGCGGAATATATTAATTGTTTAAAAAACTGACTTTAAAATTACATTTTAAGTTCTATTATGACATACAGTACCAAAAAACAATTTATTTTATAAAAGAATAAAAGTGCCATATAAATGAAATCTGTTGTGTTTGATGAAAACTGATGTTGTTTGATGAAAACTAAAAACAATCGCCGTAATATGCGAAATGCTTTAAATGCAAATTGTAGGTTCTTCCTACAGTTATGCAACCAATATACAACTATTTTATTACTATATATTTCCCGCCTTTTTTGAAAATTTGCAAATTTAAAATTTCTTCACATTCGATTCCACGACCAATATTTTTGTTCACTTAAAAATTTGGTACTTTCAGTAAAAATATTTGAATAAAAATATATGAATTTTCACTAAAAATATTTCTAAGCCCTAACACATTACGTAAACGTTATAAAGGTTTCTATTAAGTTCATATATATAATCATGTATAACCATGTTTGTTTATATTTTTTGGTTATAAAAATCTGTTAAAAGTAACATAAAAATTTTAAATTTGTATTATTGAAGATGTTAAAATTAGTACAATAATAACATTTTTATTTACAAGCGAATTTTCTATTTAATATATTTTATTTTTTTTATTTTTTTAACTGTAATAGAAAAAAAATTTTTTCGTTTTAGTTTTTTTAGTATATAATATATGGAATGTAATTCAAATGTTATACGTTTGAATGTAATTCAGATGTTTTTTTTTGTAATTTCGAGTTTTGATGTAAGTATATACATATATATATATATATATATATATATATATACTTACATATATATATATATATATATATATACATATATATGGGTTGATTATTTATTAATGTTACTTATTTAAGTGTTAATTATAGAAACACAAAGCTTTATATAAATTATACATTAAAAAATACAGAGACTAAATAAAAAACGTGTCCAATTAAGAATTAAAGAAAATTTTATTTTCATATTTTACTCACACTTCAAAATGGTACAATATTTTCTAAAACGAAACGTTACATACTATGCTAACAATAAAAGCGCACAAATATTTAAGCACAATATTTCGAACAGGCTATAATTGGAAAAACTTTATCTTAACTTTATCTTATTTTAAAAATCTAAGAAAATATAATGGGTAAGTTAACTATAATGTTTCGGTATAACTACAACTGGAAACCGTTTATCAAAATTTTATAAAACAATCTAATAAAGATTCCCATATTTAATTACTCTCCTTTCTAACTGTGAAGTATCAAAATCAATACATACACATAAATACATACATCATTATATTATACGTGTATGCACTACTCGAAGTTTTTCAAATACATCTAATATAAATTATAGTATAAGTTTTCTAATAAAAGTATTTCTATAACATAAAAATTAATAAAAATTGGTACAAAAACTTGACAAATGACAATGAAAGCCTAGAGACATTTTTAAACTGAGTTTCTGAAAATTATTTCAATAGAAAATTTTCAGTATTGCAATTCAAACTTTTTGAATTTTGCAATATTTTATAATAATTTTAAAATTTATTTATACAACTTTAACTAGTTTAAAGTTAGTATTTAAAAAACAAAAAATACCGTTTTTATGTTTTGTGGTTTTAACTTTTATTTGCCTTTTTTATTTTAATTCTCTTTTCGTTTATTCCTTTGAATCGATTTTTTCATTATTATTTGAATCAAAAGAAATTTCTAATTTTTTTATTTTTCTTTTATGTTATACGATAAAAAAACGTGCCATTCATAAAATTTTCATCTTTAAATGGTGTGATAAGCAATTGGGAGCCATCAGTGAGGTAAGCTACACAATAAACATGAAGATCCTATATTTTCTTTATTTATCATAAAATATTTTCATATAAGACATACATTTTATAGAAATATATTTATACATACAAAGAGATATATTTGTATTCAATATAAGACACAATATAAAATATATAAATTTTAAAGCATGTAAAAGTATTTGTTATAAAATATTATATTTATAAAAATTTTTAGAAATGTAAAAAAATTTTTAAAATTCTTTAGAAATTGATAATATTAAAAACCACAATGCGTCTGATATTTGTAAAATAAACTTTAATATTAATAAGAAATGCTTAAAATAATCAATTTTACTAATTTATATCTTTGTATTCTAAAGCAAGCAAAATATTATAATTGAAAAAAGAAAGTACTAAACAAACATTATATAATTATTGCAACCAAATTATTGCAATGCTATTACAAAATTTGTATTCAACGTATAAAAAATATTAATAATACATAACAAGTACATTGATTTAAGTTGAATCGAAAATTTTTGAAGCAAAGCGAAAGTTGTATGTCAAACTTAGCTTCAGTGCTTTAGATGTTCATTCATTTTCAAAAAAAAGAAAAAAGAATATGTGAAGAAAAAATAAAATAAAGGGCAAAATAAAAAATTGCAAAGAAAAATCTTAACACACATTTCATTTGAAATTTTATTTTCATTCTCTGAAAACTATTAACCAGATAAAGAAAAAAACATTTATGAACTTAATTAATTTAATTTTTATAAAGACAAATAAATATAAATTATTAAGTAATACTAGAAAAAACAAACCCAATAATTTATATTGTAATTACGCTAAACAAATCCATATTGAAAAATTTTGTAAAAATAAAAATCATTAAGCAAAAAATCAATAACAAAATATGAGATTTTGAATTGTCGAAACAATTTAAATGAAGACAAAGTAATATTTGTTAAAATAGTAAATTTCATTATTTGCAAAATAGTATAATTGTACTAATATATGTATGTATATACGTTATAAATAAAAAAAGCAAGCATAATTACAGAAAAATATAACTATAGTATTTGAATACGAAAATAGGTAAATTATAAATTATTTTTTATTGTAATTAAAATATGTAGAAAGCAAATAAAAAGAAAATTGATATTAATGAAATATGGAAATATAAATATAATTATGCTTCAAGATGTGAATATTCTATGTTTAGACTAAAACTGTATTGATTAAATTTGTATATTTATTAGAAAGAATAAGGAAAATAAAAATGATTACGTTAATTATTTTAATTTTTCAAATTAACTTAAAATAAATTTTAAATAAGTAATTCTGGCCGAATTCATAATTTAATATTAAACTTACATTACTCTGTTAATAAAGTCATTTTTTTATATAATCGATTAAAGGAAATAGAAATTTATACAACTAAACCTTTTAAAACCCGACATTTCTTATAATTAAAAAAACCCATAAGTAATTTTGTAAAAGAACATAATACATACAATTTTGTAAGAGAACAAAAAAAAAATTTAAATTTGTTTCCTTTTAAAGTGTGTTAGCAATTTTGTGAATAAAATTTTTGTATATGCTTCTTTTTCTCACAGACTATTTTATACACTCTTTGAAAAATTGTTCATACATTCATAAATTTGAAAAAAAAAAAAGAAAAACTACTTGTTTTAAATGGGAAAAATTTTGCACTATGCTCTCTTCTAACCTCAAATTCCATGGTGCAGGAATGCGGTTTTCAATTTTAAAACAGCTAAAAAAGCTTAAACATAAATTTCTGAATTGGATTCGGAGCTAAAAGATATTTTTTGTTTTATGACAGGATCTAATAATCAGTTTTGCTTTCTCGATTTATTATCAGTATAATTTTGTATAAAGACAATTGTCATTTATAATTTTATACTCTTGTAATTTAAAGTAAACATAATAGAAAGCTATAAAACTTCAAAATTTCAAGTCAAAACTTGTATAGTGAGTTTCATATAAAAATAAAATAGAATCGGCATTAAATTAACGCTTTATTTTACTAGCAACAATTTTAAATGATATTTCCATATTCACTTCATAAACAAAACAATAAAAAACATTTAAATAAAAAAAATAAAAAATTATTATTAGGATTATAAATTACATACATATTTAAAAAACAAACCAAAAAAAATTTTTTAAATAATAACAATTTCAAGGAGAACGCCAAAAAAAAACAAAAAGAATTTTTACAGCTAAATAAATTTATCTACAAATAGGTAATTATTTAGATTAGGAAATGTACACGCAGCAAAATATAATTTTAAATACCTATGTATATTTATATAATATTAATAATTAATATATATTTATACATAATTATATATATATTATATATACGTGTAAATTCATAAATGTACAAGTGAATAAATTTAAATTTAATTTATAAATTAAAATTAATTTGAAAGTATATTATAATATTGTATAAATTTAAAATTAAATTAATATAAAAAAATGCAATCAAAAATTTAATATGTAACAACGTATTAGTATCGTTTTAGTACCATAATATATTTATAAATATTTATTTCCATATAAGCACGTATTATATAGGTATACATACATACATCAAATTCACATGCTACAACACATTATGTATCATATATGTATATACGAAAATATAGTATGCATATAAATAATTTTAAAAATTGTGTTTATAAACAAATTGACTAGAAAACGGTTGTTTCAAAAAAATTAAAATAACATTGAAAACATTAGTATAGTATAATATGAAATCCATGAAAATTAATTATACAAATAAATTCTCAAAATCATAGACAAAATAAAGTAGAAACCAAAAAAAATAGAAATAAACAAGGAAAAGAATTACAAGACATAAGACAAAAAATACAATTTATAATTTTATGTTCTTAGGTTTAAGATATTAGAGTAAAAGTCGTCAAATGAAATACAAACATTAAATCGAAGTTAAAAAATTAACAATCTATCGTGCAATATAAAATTCATACCTCTACAAAAATCCCGAATATGTATGTATTAAACAATGCATAAGTTGTCGCAAAAAAAATAAATTTATTAATTTAAATATATATTTACATTTTTTTTTGTTTTTGTATTTACATATTAAATCTAAATTAAAATTAACCAAATGATATATACATAATTCAAGTATGCATGAAAAGAATTGAACGGAGTGACAAATTATTACAAAAAA